CGAGAGACACGTTTTCTCTGATGTCATGAGACTGAAGCAGCACAGGAGGATGTTGCCCTGGTATCAGATGGCCTACATGGCGCTTTTCGCGAAAAAAATAGGGCAGCCTACACAATCCTCCAAGCTGTTTCAGCAAGAGTGTTAACATGAAAAATAGCTTCCTACATGTTTGTCCGTATAAACACACAGCAGATGCAGCTAAGTGAGTCACCGCTTCTTCTTCTTCTTCTTTTTCACGTACGAGAGGAGGAAGGAAAGCTGAAGAGGAGGACAGGGAAGGAAACAGAATATGCACACATAAATATCATATGCATAAGGAATTAAAGCAAGTTTTGAGGAGAAGTCAGAGTAGGCTGTGTTCTTTGTAACACAGCTGAAAATGCATGAAAGGTGGAGTAAGATTTAAGGAATTTCTTGAATTTAAATTCGATGAAAAAGTTGAAATCACACTTTCAGTGTTTCAACTTTGCATTTAGAATCACTGGAGATGAGGTTTGTTACGCACACAGAGGCTAACTTTCACATCCAGCAGATACCAGGACACATTTCCATGGATTTTGGAGTTGTATTTGCGTTTAAAAAAAATTATTATCTAAGTTCCTCGTACTTTAAGCTCTGTTTTTGGTCTCTATCAACTGTGGGAAATATCCTACTATTCAGCTGCAAAAGGCTCCACTATTTTCAGCAACCAAATCTTGTCTGCCTGTTGTAGAGTGCCTGAAGGGGGAAAGCCATTTTTAAGCTGTAAATGCAGGTGAGAGCTGTTAGAGTGAACTAAAACAGTACAGTTGTTGATTGACACCCCTCCCCCCCCCCCCCCCCCCCCCCCCAATAAAATGAATGAAAAAAAAATGGAAACGTCATAGTCAGACAATTAATCTCACAATGGGGGATCCCTTTCATTTACATTAAGTAATGTGATAATCTATTAATGACAATAATAGTGGCATTAGCTGCTTTTACAAGTCTAGATACTGATAAATGAAAACATCCTCTGCCACAGAACAGTGCTTCAAATGAAGGCCAAAGTTGCTCTCATGCTCTTCTCTCTCTCTCTCTCTCCGAGCTTTGGATTGCAGAGAACACAAGCCAGAGACGCAGTAGAGAAGGGCCCACGGTTGCCATGGTAACCTCTCTCCCGTCCATCGTGACTTGATGCTCCTCCAGACTGAGGATGAGGTGGCACGAGGAGGGAAATGAGGCCTTGGATAAAACCTTCGACCAACACAAGCTTCGACACCACGGACATCATCAACATCTGCCTGAGGCGATGACATCATCGCTCCTCCACCTTGCAGGATTCAGACACCAAATCTGCAGCTGCTCACTGCAGTTGACGAAAAATGTACAACATTTTTTTTCTCTACTCCTTATTGTAGCTTTATCACTCTTCTCACTCTTTGTGGGAGGAGGAGGAAGAGGAGGAGGAGGAGGAGGAGGAGGAGGTGGAGTCATTTGACCCTATAATCTTCTTGAAATCGACCAGAGTGAGATTAACTTTATTTCATCTCACACTGAGTCGCCGTCACAGCTCAATCTTTGTCCTGCAACCTTCAGAGTCACACAGTGATCAGAGCTGAAGGGCGTAAGAGCGGGATGAACAGCAGGGTGATTAAGTTGAACACAACAAAGACACAAATATTTAATCAACAAGCCGATCTGTCACCTAAGCCTTACACTTTTTGCACAAAGGCCCTTCCACTAACATGGACAATGATTTACTAAAAATACAGAATAAGAGCCAATTTTACAATATAGGGCAAATAATTCTGAGTAAGGACAGTGATTCAGTGATTCTTTGGTCGCCATGCCAATAAACTACTGATTAAAAAACTCCTGTGTACTACAAGATCACTGTTAACCCCCCCCCCCCCCCCCACAACCACAACCCCACCCCAGTATAATGCATTCCAAAACAACACATATGCAACTATAACCACTTTGAGCCATGTGAGACATGATGACACAACCTTGTGGTACATGTGTTTGAGACTGACTGCATTGTAGTATCAGACTGTATTACATAATCTAACACCAAAAGTGGACCCATCATGTTGTCCCTTAAAGCTCTACACACACAGAGAAGTACAAGTACTGCAAATCCTTCACAGAGGGCTGCGTTATTTCAACAACGTATTTAATGAATTCCTTGATTTTTAATCGGCCAAAAACTAAAAGGCAAAATGTCCATGTCCACATACTGCAGCAGACTCATAATTCATCTCTACAGCTCAAGGTAATGCTGTTTCTATAGTCTGACAAGAAGTCAAAAAGCTGAATAATAATATGGGGGGGTTGTTTAGAAGGTAAAACAAGATTACTGGATTATAAAAAAAATGTAAATGTCTAAACTCCTAACTTTATGACTAAACAAATAATCATTATGGATACTGATTCTTCTTGAGTTAACTGTCAAATCGTTCAGAGTATGAAATGGTAATAACAGACTGATATTTTCGACTTAAAAAAAACACTTAAATATTTTTTATCCACTACATAAACCTACATGCTAAGGCTTACATGTAACTACTATTTTGTATTATTGCTTGACAGAGGCCCTTACAATAGACTGTCATGCATTCAGCAGAGCAGGAACTTCAGAAATCACCAGTTTGATCAACACCTCTTGTTCAAACAAAACAAACAAAAAAAAAACATCTAATCTTCATAAATCTACGCTTGCTGAGTTGTTGCACTGTATCGCAATAGATAATACAAATCTTCATTATTCTATGCACACCCACGATATTAGAACGATTCCTAGAATAAAACAGCCCCTAATCCTCTTGACTGACAAACTCGTATCTGTTTTCATGACCTGTGGTGCAATCCATCTTAAGGCAGTCCTTTTAATAACTCAAAACACTAACTGAACTGGAAACCAGTAGAAGGGAAAAGTTTACCAAGTGTACTCTGACCTGTTGGGCCTGGTCAGCTTCATGCAGAAACACACCCACACACACACGCGCGCGCGCGCGCACACACACACACACACACACACACACACACACACACACACACACACCCACACCCACACACACATATGCAGTCCTTTTTTCAGCCATGTACTCGACTGGCTGAGTAGCCTAGTTGAAATAAATAAAAAAACGCCTGGATCAGGTGTAAGGATGACACCTTCAGGCCAGTGACAACAGGTTATACAGCAGTCTTCTGGTATCTACGGCTACGTGGTATTTAGAGACAATCCCAGTTCAAACAGCCTACCTGTAACTGTGCACGCTGTTCCACTCTGCTGCCTCCTCTATGCTGCACAGCGCGGAGCTTCTCGACGGGGAAACATGCTGTCAGCATCGCACTGCAGAATCGCTCATCTCGGACACACACACACGCACACACGCAGGCTCCAGCGGATCATCTGAGGTAGATGGTTTTTAGGATTAAAATCTATGCTGGGGTGCGACATCGCTGAGGCAGTGTGGGAGTCATCCGGAGAGCCGCGACTGTCTGACTGACTGCTGAGAATCTGCACTCGCCACCGGGAGCGCGCACAACTGATCCCGTGCCCGCGCCTGGGATAATTTAGCCCCAGGGTTTCCCAGACCTTTTCAATGTCAAGGACCCGAATAGGAGACAGGCGTGAGAGTCTGCATGGAGCCCCGTTTTGATAATATTCCCCAGCCTTAGGAGCCCCATCTGGCAAATTGTATCGTGTTAGGTAATGCCTGGTACTGAATTACATAAGCACAGTGTAGGTGGGGTGGTAACAGTGAGAGGAGTGAAACCTGGTGTGCAAATCACTTCATTCTCATATATCATCTGATTGTGCATGTCAACTAAATGAGATCATGTGAAATTCAGCTATAACTATTTACTATTTACTCTTAAACCGAATTCCCTTTGTGGGTTGCTTTTTGATCCATGCAACAGATTTGAGCATTAGCCTGCTACAAAATTAACATTTTAAAAACCTGTAGATAAAAGATTTTGGGATAAACCAATTTGAATGATCTTTCTGTCATATAATAATAATAATAATAATAATGATAATAATAATAAAAGCTTGTATTTGTATCAAGTAAGTATATCCTACCTCAAATTATTGGTTGCTGTTACATAAAGCAACAGTTCAACATCTTGGGATGAAGCAACTTGGTTAGATTAGGTCAACATATGAAGCTATAGGCAGGAAAAAGCTAGCTAGGTTTGCCATATGAAGACTGGGAACAAGAGCAAAGGTATCCTAGCAGGTCCAAAGTTCTAAATATATAAAACAGTGAAGTAAAAAAAAAAAAAAAAGGTATTTTTTAGGAAAATTGTGAAAGATTTTTCCACTTTTTTTTGCATATGTTGACCATTTGAAAAAGAAAATGTTTTGATAATGACAATAATCCCTCTAAATTATAGTAAAAGAATAGCTTGTCATTATTAATACACATATTATAATCAAAGCTAATACATGTAAAAAAAAAAGAAAAAAAAGTAAACAATCTGCATATTTGCTTACTGACTATTTTCGTCAGGCGAATGCAAATTGCTGCTCATTTGTTTGTTTCCCAGTCTGCCAAGGGGGAATTTGAACAAAAGCACAAAGGTCATTCTGACAGACCTCATCCTCGTTCATGCTATTTGCTCTCCTTGGTTCGGCTGAGTTGCCACACTAGTTATTTCTTAACCTTTGCGCTGAGACAGCAGAGCTGGGCTTCAAATATTAATCTTTGAACAACATGCAAACAATTAAAAACACCTTGTGATAAATATATGTTTTCCTCATTACGTTCTCTTCAGCTGATATGTGACTAAATTGCAATGCACAATTATATTTAATGGGGGATTGAATTCTTGCACTTTAATTCTGAAGCCGCTGTCCTATAGAATTAAACTACAATAGAACCCTGACCTGATAGCTGCTGCTTATTGCCACACTATCTTCCCCTCCGTCTGACCAACACTTACACCCTGTGTTCAGCACATGAACTACACCCTCTCCCTCACACAGACCAGAGCGACCCCAAGACAAAGAAGCACGAGAAAAATAAAACCTCTTTTGATTTTTTTATTATATCAAAATACAAAAATTTGAGAGGAAAATTTTCGTATGGGACTAAGCATTTGAAATGATATGGTGACATGAATACAGCACTGCTTTCATATTCTCACAGACATGCCATAGATAGAGCATAGATCATGTGCTAGGCCCATGTCTACGTCATGATGAGCCACCAGGATTGAGCCTGTGCGTTTTCCCTATGAAGGCTTTTCATGGTGACTGTCACTTTATATCCAGGCCAGTTGGTAACAGGCCATGAGTGTTTTGTTTTATTAATCACATAGTTCATTCAGGTTTCTGTTTACTCAATAAAGAAAGGAGATCCATGGCAGTTGAACATGAAGAGTGAGTAAGACATGATCTCAGACGATACAGAATTCACTGGACAGCAGTGGCAAACAAGAGAAAAGTAATACAAATATTATACATAAGGCTTTGGTACAGCACCATACAGTATGAGTTAATTGATTGCTCACAAACAAAAAGTTAATTGAAGCAGAACACCTGATGCAGTGACAGAACAGAAAGACAGTCTAAAAAACGGACAAAAAGCTAAACATCAGGTTATCGTTTTAAAAAAGAGAAAAGTAAAAAATGTCTTCGCTTTGAATTATTTACATATGAACATTAAAGACCATTATGGAGACAAATTATGTACAAAAGAAAACAGAATAAACAACATATAATACAGAATGTAAACATGTGATGTACAGCACAGAGTTCAGTGGATGACAGTGAAATGAAATGTATTAAATTTTCTTCCTTTTTAAGCACTACTTGGTTTGCTTGAGTATGAGCATTAGCTAAAACAGTCAACGATGTAGTGCTTATTGTAGCCTACGATAATAATAATACATTCTAGTTTCTCAGTGCTGGTACACATGAAAAAACAGAGAATATAGAAAATACTACATTTTTCTATTTTCCATCCAATAACAACCAGCTCAGATGTCCATGAATGATTGCTAAATAGGCGTTTTTTTAAGTCTTTTTTTTTGTATTGTCTCTACATGCAAGATTAATACAATAAAAAATCAAATAGGTTTCTAAGTATCATCCTACCAGCACCTAGTGATGCCCTAAAAGCATGTAAGCAGAAAAATTGGAGAAAGAAAATTTAAAAAAGGAAAAAAAAAAAAAAAATCGAACTAACAGTACGTCCAAAGCAGCCCTCTTAAAACACTATACATGTTTCTGTTGAATATGCAAAAAAGAGCCCGGAAGACAACATCCATTCGTTAAAAACCCATGTGGAGAATAACTTAAGCCTTCCCAATCAATACCTTTCAACCAGGAGAATCAGCAGTAATAAATACAAATGTGGTCTGATGACTACTCATGGCTATACTGTACAGTTGTAGTAGGAAATCTATTGTCAAAAAACAGTGGTGAGATGATGTGAGACGTTTGTTTTTTTTCCGCCTCCCTGCAGTAGTGTGCTTGAAAAACAGTGCTGTTAACCAAAGATGGTAGACCTACAGGAAGTGTGTAGAAAATGTCCCCTTCTCATGACCTGACGATGCTTTCAGATTCCCTCCCATGTGTCCTGTGGGGTGTACTAAACTCTAAATCAGGTTTATGTTTTCTCCTTTTTAGGCTGGGTTAATATTCTCAGTATCATCACAGATATACTTTAGAGAGGGTACCTTGGAAGCACAGACAGACATTGCAAACACACTATAGAAAACAGGTCATCGTTGAGTTCATTTGAATGTCGCAGAGTCTCTATTATTCAAGGTTATACTACTATTTTCCAGTATTGTCTATCACTGTCATCACATCATGAAACTGTAATAATAAGGACTGATAGTGACTACCAGAGCTAGTTAGTTGCTCAAACACACAGGAGTGTGTGTCTGACAGAGAGTTGCTTTTGTGAACAGAAAAAGAAAATCGTCAGACCTCTAATCTACAGCACCACAAAGTTAAACATAGCACCAAGTCGTAATGTTCAAAGCAACTATGCCCTAACACACTTGTCTGTATCAAACTAATGTAAACACAATTTCCTCCACAGCACGTTTTTTTTTTTTTTAAATGACTATAGCATGTCTGTGACTCTTAGAAAAAACATTTCCTTCAGTTTTATTTGCTTTGGACTCCTGAAGGCGACGGATCTGAAGTGAATTTACATGTGTGCTCATGAACGGGCAAAATACAGAATTACTTTGTTCCAGGAATATTGTTATATAGGGCAACACATTTCTGCTTCTAAAGCTTTTTCCAATGGGCATTCACATACTATACATCAGAGGAAATACTACTTAACTTGTGCAGCCAGCGGGCTATGGCAATAATACATCGTACGGTACTAACATTAAGGTTTCTTTTCTTTTCAGATAAAATAATATCTGCTAAAATATAACAAATGAGGCACCTTAAAATGTTTTAGAAACATTATCCACTTAAAGCCGTACTGTAAGCAAATACTTTGATATATAATCTAATTTCTTAGGGACCCCTCCCTTCTTTTCATACACCCTCTTACAGGAACCTATTCCTGTAAAACATGGTTTGATTTATCTTTACAAATACAATACACACCATGTACAGTAAATAACAAATATAGATTTTTTTCCCCCCTAATATCGTACTGTACATGAAACCAATTTGCTAAAGTAGTATATGCACTTTGACGCTCACTTTTCAGGCAATCACCGCTTTCTCACTTGTCAAAAGAGATTACATTTTGATCAGACATAGAGTCGATTCATTCATGTGGATATTTGTCAGAAAACCTCTGATTTGTTTGTAGCAGATAGACTCATATCTGTTGTGTTTTTGAACTGGTGTTGGCCTTAAAAAGAAACCAGGTGTTTTTGTAGCCGACGAACAAAGAAGCTCGGGTTAGTTATTACAGGGAAGCGAAACATTTTCGACTTTGTGTGCCAACTGCTCATCTCACCAATCGCAGCCGCACTTTAAACAACGTCATGAGTCATTCAATGTACTGTGACATCGGGACATTCATTTCCTGTACAGCAAAAACATACATTCAATATCGGTTAGTGTTGAAAAATTAACAAACATACAGTTAGCTAGCAAGTAATATACAGTTGTTAAATATAAACAGTCAGGGTGGCCATTGTTTGAATATTTCTCATTGCTTTTGAACAGCTTTATGAAGCAATCACATTCTCCTTTAAACATTTCTTGTTAAACATTAACACAATATCTGAACTTGTACAGCACTTCTGTACTTTTCCACTGGATTTATTTGCCTTCTCTGAGTCTCAATTTCTTTTTTTTTCTCTCATTAGTATGGGTATTCTGATTCTGTCCTATTACTTGGATATACACAGTTGAAGCAGGTACCCATTTAAAGTAGATAATAAGAAAAATTAAAATAAAAAAACAAGAGTTATGCAACCTCCGTAGCATTTTCTCTCATGTGTCCTTGGCAGAGAAAATAAAAACACACATCGTATCGGAGTCTCTCACGCCCCCCTGGAGAGACAAATATGAGAAGGCGACGGAAAAAGGCAGTTTATGTTTGAAAGAAATGTAAAAAACAAGAGAGAAAAGGCAGAAAAAGGCACCTCGACACGTGCCATGTTTCACAAATGATTCCTTAATAATGAAATACATACGACAGTACACTTCACAAATCATCACCCTGTTCTTCTTAACCCAACAAGTCCAACCTCTGATGAGCGTGTGAGTCCCAATATTGTCTCATGAAGGCTATGGCCTGTGTACTAACATGTTGCCATGACAATTAAGTGTAAACACAGAGCCGTCAAGCACCTAAAATTAAGACAGTCCTCTAGTGGTTAGCGTTGGATCATGAATCAAAACAAACACAGTATGCCAGCTAATACTGATAGAAAAAAAGCTTTTGAAATTTGATAAAGTTAGGCCATATTATCTATCTGAATGAGCGTTGTGTGTGTGTGTGTGTGTGTGTGTGTGTGTGTGTGTGTGTGTGTGTTTTGTGTGTGATATAAACCTTTTTAGCCATATGTAAAAAGGTTGAGTACGTACAGTATACCACAAGAATTACAGCAACTCTGCGTTTACTCTGAGGTATATTTTGTGGTAAGAACCCTGTGTTTAAATACTGACACTATTTGTATTGTAGGAAAGGTAGACTCATGTCCCTGTGTGAGGATGCACCAGGCTTCACAGTACACTGTATCACTGAAAAACCTAAAGATATGGACCCCTCAATGACCAGTGAGTGAAAAATCTTCAACGTGTTGTGACATACTCAACCAACACATTGTTATTACTGTAGGAGGAAGCTTAATTCCCTTGTTTTACTAGTTATATACATTATATAAGTCCATTTTCAAGTCAAATTCCTCAGAGACAAGTAGTGGCAACAACTATGAAAAGCCATTGTTCTTGTCTTCAAATAAGATTTCCAACCTCCCGGAGCATTCAGCTGGATTTTTTCCCCCCGCTCCTGAAACAACAAAGAACTTTTTAGAGATTATAAGAAAAGTATTAGCTTGGAGCAAGGAGAGCTGAGGTTGTTTTTTTTTTTTTTTAAATCAGGGGAGGTCAGTTTAGTCGAGTCCGATGGCTTGGTGGGCCCACATGTCAGCGTAGAGTCCCATAATTTGGGCCCTCAGAGTCTGCACTGGCCAGAATGCCTGTCTGGTCCTCCTCGGACTTCCTGCGGTGCAGTAAGGAGGTCAAATAGAGATAGGGGTTCTTCTTCTTTTGCTTTTTCCTCTTTCTGTGGAGGCTGAGATCCTTTCCCTCTTGGGGTGTCTGAGATTGCTGCTGGGTCTGAGAGGGACACACACCTGAATGTGGAAAAGCACAGGAGTCACACCATCTACGTGTTTAAAACATTAATCTGATGCCCTTTTCTCTCTAATACTTGGACAAACCTGTTCTCCTTCCGGAGGTTGCGTTGTTATTGTTGTTGGTGGCCACACCCTTGGCTTTAGTAATACAGTGTTGTAGCAGTGCTGGTAAGCTCTCAGACCCGGCAGGATCACTAGACGCACCTAGAGGTTCCCTGTGAAGAGCAGAGACAGCACAGCATACATAGTGCTGCATTAATCAAACAGTCTTCTTCAGGTACATCGCTGACTTGTAAAAAAAAAAAAAAAAAATTCTATCTTGTGATTGAATGAGCTCTTGCACATCTACTGAGAGCCCTTTCTCTAAGATGATGAATTTCCATTTACTATCTGCATTGATGGACAATAAAAGTTAGACACAATGAATGTGACAGAGAGAGAGAGAGAGAGGGACAGAGAGAGAGAGACAGAGAGAAAGAAATTGATATAAGATGGCAGTGGATTTGTTGAATTTATTGGCTAACTGAGATCCCTTTCTAACAATCATTACATTAAAGACCCAGTGTTTACGAGAATTATTTGAAAAACAAAACCTGAAGGGAGACGAATTGTGGTACAAAATTACAAACGTTGTAGTCATAGCTCATGTCAGGTTTAGACAATAATGACAATTTCTGAGCTCACTCAGCTTTGGGTCTTTAAATAGTGACTGCTTCAGAGATGCTGGAAAGTACTGGTCTACTTGGTGTATAAAACTCATAAAATGAAAATAATTGGTGGAGCTGTATAATAACAGTTCCTGTAACAATGAGCACTCATTGAGCATCATTTCTAACTTCTTTAAATACCTATTTTTGCTTCTTTTTTTTTTTCAGAAGATGCTTCAGCAAGTAGGTGCCAATGCTGCAGTGAAGTACTTAAGTTTATACCAAACTTTGGAAACTATTTTCATTTCATGAGTGATACTTGCTACGTTGAATGAAAAATAACCGATGATCAGTCAGTACAACAAAAAAAAATCACATTAAACTGAAGTACTTTCACATTCATAGTTTGTAGATTGGTAGTTTTACCTCATACCCAATACTCAGGTTTTGTTGTCCATCTCTCTTAGAAAGATGCACAAGAGTTAATTGGAATCCAAATATCCTCACAAACGCTCAACATTTAAGTCGAGGTTTGTGAGGCTTCATATTGTTTCAGAGCATTTAAAAGAACTAAATTCAAGCAGCGTCATAACCCGACTTAATGCTTCATTAAGTCAGGTTGTTGTGCCAAACATGTATGGATTGAAAACACAAAGCTTTAGAGACGCTGTCCATGACTTGTCACTGTGGAGAGAGAGATTGAGAGCCATTAGCAGAGAGGGGGAGACAAATGTGAGAATTCCTGAACAGAGAACATTTCCATTATTATATAAACTGTGTGCAGAGGCCACAGCGTGTTAAATATCGTACATTTCCATAGACATGAACACTGTACAGCACACTTTCATAAACATGAACACTGCGTACAGAGGCTTCACCATGCTGACGGGAGGAGATGGCAGGAAGAGGAAATGGCCGTTAAAGAACAAGTCACATGACAGGAAGAGGAAATGGCCATTTAAAAACAGTCACATGACAGAAAAACGAAAGCACTTAGGACAACGAATGTGACAAAGAATTTAGTTTGAGAATTGTTGTTATTTGTTTGGTCGTAGAGAGAAGTTTAGAGAATGCATGCATGGCATTTTGCACATGGAACAAAACTTTAAAGGGGAATACTCCAGTCTATCATTCATGTGCGTCCTCTATTGATTCAAGGCTTTTAGATGTTCTTCTATTTTTTGATGCAGGGAAACATGTCTGTATTCAAACAGTCAAAAGACAAAAATGCTTCTCCACAGTCCAAAACCACTCCTCCTGCTTGCTCACAAGCCTAATTACTGCAGCCTAGGCCACAGCAGGCTTACTGTGCCATGAAAGTGTATTGACAAATGTGTCCTGCAGTCATTATTACCATTAGTCGTACTTCACTTGAATCCAGCACAGAGGCACAACCCAAAGCGATTCCCCTTTAAAGGAGAGAGTGATTAGAGCCCTCCCCCTGCTGACCCCTCCCCTCTCAGACATGGGTCCGACCCTTACCTATTGCGGCGTAGGGGACCGGGTCACAACGCTGCCCAGATAGCTGAGATCAATCAAAAACAAATCAAGTAAGACCCTTACCCTCTATAAAGCAGCAGCAGCCCTATAAGCTACCTTCCCTTAAAGGCCAGTGATAGTGCAGGAGCAAGTCTCTGCTTCATGGCTTTAGCCATTGTGTGATTGTAGCGTCTAGGGTTGTGAGGTGGGTGTGAGGGGGCGCAGGAATGTGTGCAGCAAAAAATGCCAATGGGCATTAAAACTATATCAGTCTCAGTTATGTTTTCATGTAGGTGTAAAAGCATGGAAGTTCTTGTGTTATTTCTAATTACCTGTATCAAAGAGGGACTCAATTATTAGATTATTGAATGTTATAAGAAAATACCCTTCAAATAAGATTTACTTGGGGTTATCATCATGAAAAACTGGTTTATGATCAAACTTTTGAAATAAATATTTGATAAGGCTATCATTATTAATGGTAATATCAGTTACAATTGCTTTTTTGAGCCATAATAATATACTTTGGGTTGCCAGGGTCAGGCTTGCCTTCATCCAAGATCTAAATAATCTACTTATCTAATCGACCCAATAATGAACAGTATTATAATATTAAGTCTTTTTTCTTATTGGCAATTGGAAAAACGACATGTCTGGTCTGTGTTGTAGGTAATTCTATCAGTAAAGTCTGGTAAAGTCCAAGGCAGCTCCCTGAAGTCTACTTATCTGCTGGGGCCAAATACAAATGGGTTAAGGGGCAATTACGTTGGAACTGAAATGATGTGTTACCTAACTTGGGCTGGGCCAATGGGTTAGCCTGAATGAGTTCATAAAGTTGGGCCAGTCTGGGTAAATCATAGCCTAATTGGGATCCACCAGTAGCAATATTGACTGACTAAATGGTATGCCCCACTTCTAGCCCATGCATAACCAACCCACTTAAAGACCCCACTGAGCACATTCCTGTAGGTGAAGCCCAGCTGATCCACTTGAAGCCCATGTATGCCCCCCTGTTGGCAATGATGACTTGTGGGTTTTATCCAGGGATGTGCTGACCAAAGATTGAGCGGTAGTTGGCAACAGAGTTACTAGTTGGTTAAACAAACTTTTTATATTTGTAATATGTTGTTTGTAAGATCCAAAGAAGCCACCCGCTTCTAGCCAGGGCTGTAGCTCTAGTTAATGGCCCGGAAATTTGGCCATAATGATCTACTACCCTGATGTAAACCAGCAATGGACGAGTGGCAGTATTTTGACCTGAGCGATAGTTTTGTAGGAGCAAAGCATAAACAGCAGTTAACCTGCAAAGAGGACTGAAGGCTGGCGGTGCAGTACTGCGAATGTTAGCCACACTTGGCAAATCTATTGTTTTGGTCTATTGTTTACCCACAGATACTGTGATCCGTGGTTTAGCAGTGTTTAATCAATTCCCAACCTGGCAACCCAAAAGTAATTTTTAACAGTGACTTAATGATAACTACCCAAAAAGACTTAATGGGCATTTTTTACTTGAAATCATTGCCTGCAAGTACCAATTATTGATCAAGGTAGAATGATCAGAAAAAGGGGGCTTTTTCTTTGAATGTGATATACAGTGTGTTAATGTTCAGCAAATATTCTACTTGTTAAAGCTGAGCATTAATATAACTTCTGTAAATGATTCACGAATTACATTTTTACTTGAAAAAGCTGATCAAATTAAACTTTTATCAGTCAGTGAAATCTTGTACAGTTCAACGTTTCAGTGTTCAAAACTAAGGATTGAAGCAAAAGCACATCTTTAAAAACAGTAAACTTGGGGAGGGTTCTTCTACTTATATCTGAACTTTTTATCTGTATGTTCCTGTAGTGTAATCATTAGAGTTCATCAGATTAAATATGAGCTATCAAATGAGAAATACAAAACATTATTAAATTGAGATTTCACATGCTTTAGGTAACTTTCATTTTTATGAATGTATACAATGTGTGCTAAATGCTATTACATGCCCTCTGCATATTAAAGTACAATATGCATCTTAATAGTGTCTCAATGAAGTAAAACTGGATAAATACTGAGGATATTTGGAATTGAGTGCAGATGAGGAGACAAGTCTCCCCTTTATGTATAGATATGCGACTATTCTCTACTGGAGTGGATCACCTACCCTGAGGCTGATATCTGGAGCTGAGAGGGCTCTGAGGGCAGCATCTCCTCCTCTGTCCTTCTCTGGGATGGCCTCTGCCCGAATACATCCCTGCCCTCCAGAGGGGGAGAGGGGGACTGGGAGGGGTAACTGGCTGCAGTGGAGGCATACGACATGTGGGCGTGGTAACTGGGGCTGGGTTGCCTGGCACCCTGACTCTGAGTGGGGGAGGCGGTCAGGGAGGACCTCCGGGAGAAACTGACAGTGGCCGAGGGCTGCAGGGTGATCTCAGGCATCTCCAAAGACCGAGAGGTGCGGAGGATGCTGGGGCGCGGAGGGGGCCGTACTAGAATGTCTGGGGAGCCCGGCTGAGTGCTAAGGGGGCTTTGTGAAAGAGGTGAGAGGCGGGACGGCTGGAGTACTAGAGGGGGGAGGCTGGGGTCTGCCCGGCGCCCCGCCCTCGGGCTGAGCCAAGACTGAGGGCTACTACTGGGGGCTGTGCTTGGGCTACCTGCGCGGGCTGCCGGGTCAGGGTAAGGCAACACTGGTACACCCACACCGTGGGCCGTGTGTCTGAGCTGGCCGAGACTTTGGGCCTGTTGCATAGCTAAACGCCTAACCGGAGGCCCCATGGGCCTGTCTCTGCCCGGGGGAGCCATAGGGACCTCCAGCTGCAGGAGTCCGGGGCTGGTTGGATCAGTTAGGGAAGAGTAGTGTAAGCGGCTAGGGGGGAGGGAGTGAGGAGAGTATGAGGGTGGGTCAGGGAGGTCCTGGTGGTGATGTAAGGGATGGTGAGGTGGGTATATGAACCGTGGACCTTCTAGACCCAGGAAGGGTAACTCATGAGGCTGCCAGCTTTCAGGTGAGCGAGGAGGAGGGCTGTGAGTGTGAGACAGAGAATGGCCAGAGGCGGTGTACTGATGGTGCTCCATCTCTCCACTCTCCTCAGGGATGGAGGGGTAACCAAAGGGCCCCTCGGCGGTGCCTGGGGGGGAGGACAGAGCGGAGCTACGCGGGCTGATGTCAGGCATGTAGAATGGTGGTGGGATCCCTGATTCACCGCGGCTGCCTAGATACCCATAGAATGGGCCCTGGGGAAAGCCCCTGTAGCGGGAGGCGGGGGCCTGCCCTGAGGCGTGAAGTGCACTGCCCTCTGCAAAGCTCATACCTTCCATGGGCCTGTGTAGGCGGGGGCTGTAGTTGGGGGGCTGCGTTGACTCCAGGCTGGAGGACGTTGGGGAGAGCTGTGGTCGCAGCGTGGGCATGATGGGCGGCAGAGGCCCGGGGTCAAAATCATTCTCCTCATCAGACTGCCGGAACTCAGGGTACATGTCAGACTCCTCTGCGAAGGGAAAGCCCTGGATGCGGCGGTGTGGCGGGCTTCTCTCCATGACGAAGCGACCGTCAGGGCCGCGACTTATCAGCTCAATCGGTGTGGTGACCTCAGCCTCGTGCTTGGACACACTGTATTTCTTGCTGACTATGGCACGCTTGGTTTTCTTGTAGAAGGAGAGCTCTTTGTCTCTTTCTCTATGAGGGCTGGGCAGCTTCCTGACGTACAGGCCTGGACCGTGTGAATCATCCGAAGAAAGAGAGCGGGGTCGAGATGGAGGGGAGCTCTCTGGACTTATCTTCCCCGAAGATAACCTTGTAAAAAATGCGGACACAAGACACTGTCTTAATTAAACATGAAAAGGATCACACCTAAAGTTAAAAAGCAAAAAAAGGATGAAAACAAAAGAAAAATCTCCGATGCTATAGATACAAATGCATGGATGCAACTAACTAAACAGATGAAACAATACAAAGCCAAAGCGTTCTAAAAAGGCAGCCATAAGGAACTACATCATGACAATGAGCAGTTTATGGTGGCGGCAGCATCCTGATAGCACAGCAGCTAATGAACCAAGCCAGAATGACGGGATGAGAAGAGAACCAATGACGCAACCATGACAACAGTATCACAGATCCCTTGAATCTACACCCTCTTGAGCAGACGTAAGACTAATTTCCATATGCTGCACCAAATGGTGATGTGAGGAAAGCAGATGACATTAACCAGGCCTCATTTGCCCACACCAGGAGCAGCATAGTAGACACTTACTCAGTCCCTGAATGCATCAGGTAACATTCATAATAAAGAGTGCATATACACTGTACTGAACCGCACATGCAGCTGAGCTAATGCACTTAAAATACCTGCATGGTGCGTGAAGGTCTGTGCATGCAAATAGGCTCCACTAAAACAGTCATTGTCAGTTCATCATTTCTATGCAATGTATTAAATAACCATGCAGCCAAGCCAGTGCAGTAAAGCACGCTCTGTATTTGGGTGCAGGCAGGCACTCACAGGGGGCTGGCGGGCGGGGGCAAGAAACTGCTCCTGGCAGGCTCGTCCCAGCAGGGCTCTACCCCTGGCAAGGGGGTGAGAGGAGGCCTGCGATGGGAGACAAATGACATGGGCCTGGTTCATCTTTGACTATGCCACTAACAGGGAGAACGAAAACTTCCTGAACTGCAGGGACCCTTTCATAAGACTAAACAAATGATTGACCTAAAGTGTAAGGCAAATAATCTATTCTTGAATGGGATTTACACATATATTACTGTCTAAAATGATCTTCTTTTGTTGTTTTAATGCAGTCATACATGTACACAGACAAGACAAATACACACATGTAGCAGATACTGTACAATTAATGTGCAGCTAAACAAAAAATAGCATTTCTTCACATTTAGAACCATGCAGAAAGCACACAGCGTTTGAGGTTAAAGAATACAGATGGATCAAAAATCAATACACATATTGCAGCTTGGGCACTCCTGGTAATGTGCTTAAAATGCTGACGTGGCTTGTTTGAACGTCACTTTTTTCTGCCCACCATCCGCTAGAGGCTGCTACTGTTCATGTTCTTGTACACCTTTCAAATAGATTAAACTTGAAATTAATGTGTTTCATTATTAGCTCTCATCTAAATACACTGGAGAAAGCATACTGTGGTTGTGTGCATTTACTTATGCCATAATACTGTCTGTTTCCAGGTGTCACATTTTTCAAAATAAACTTCACTGGTTGTATAGTTTCACTGTTTATTATATTAAAATGTATACCATTTAAAATCATGCATAGGAAGAGGAAATGTGTTTAAAGGTGCATTAGAACATGCACAGCAGCAGCCTCCTCTGGCAGACTGCAAGGGCTCCTTTGTTGACTCTACTTACGGTGACTCAATGCTTTTCCTGAAGTGTGTCACCGACAAGGGAGGATCTGAGAGGACAAAAACATTTCAGTTGAGAATTTCCTCAGTTGAATACCATGGAAAGATTATGATTCTACAGATAGAAAAATGCCCCTTAAGCATTCTATATTATAAAATATTTTTAGTCCTTCTGGTCATTTTGTGTGTCATTGTGTGTCATTGTGTTTCCGCCTATATTTTCAGACATTTTGTGTCTCTATGTTCTAATAAGTGTGCGTTGTTTAACTTGTTTTGTCGTCATTTTGAAAGCGCTTACAGTTTGTGTTCCTCTCTCTGCAGACATTTTGCAATTCATTCATTCTGATATTATTTGAATTTGTTTTGAAATGTCTGCTCTTCTATTGAGTCTGTTTAAATTAGTTTATGCAACTCTTTCTAGTTGTTTGCTGTCTCATTGTGTTTATGTATCTCCATTTTCAATTGCCTTGGATCAAAATTCACTTCAAACACATGGCCTGGCAAAGGTTGTAAACCATTCATATCCCCCTCCCCAATGTCAGACATGTACTCTGTTTATTACATAAATAATAGGTAGACAGGAGACCGACCTGGTTTACGTTTGAGTTTGCGACGGTGTTGCTTGTTGACAAAGCAAGCAGCCAAAGTGCTGAACAGTACTGCCGCTGCCAGGAAACAGATAGTTGCCACAACACCCGCAACCACAGGCCGTGCCAGCCCCTCATCAGGCAACTCTGCGGGGGGGAAGGGATCTGATGTGGCAGACAAGCGGGCAAAAATAAGAGATTACATTCATAAAACCTCAAAAAAAAAAAAATTCCTCACAGTGGTCAAGCAACTCTGTCTAACACCGTTCTCTTAATGAATATCAAACAGACCTGTGCTGGACACTCCCACTACATTGCTGCTCTCACTGATCAGGTCGTCCATGACAGCCATCACCCGAAACTCATACCAGGACTCCTGTAGAAAGAAATACAAAACAAACACTTTTTATCACTGCTTCGTACACTGACAATTGTTTATATCTTGCTAGATTATGGCCAAGGGTTTTATTGTCTTTCATAATTATGATAGTTGTCTAAGTGAATTTTGCTTTTTCACACCTCAAACACATCTGATATGCTTAAATCAAAGATTCCATCGAAGAGGAATTATCCTTTAGTTTCATAGTCCATGGGACGGGAAGATTTTTAACAAAATGGATTCTCTATTTCAACTGAATCGTTTCCAATAATTCTCCAAACAAAGCCCCTGTGCCCAGTTTGTAACCCCATATTTTGAGATTAAAATGTGACTGTGACTGACCTGAACGAGGTCTCTAGCTATGAGCTCGGTCTCAGTGGACGGGATCAGGTCATCCAGAATCTCCCACCTCTCCCCGAGGCGAAACTCCATGATGTATCGGTCGATAGGTGAAGAGTGGTTTGCTGGAGGGAGCCATGTGAGGAGGACACCGTGCTGCGTGCGATTGGCTGTGAGGCACCGTGGTGGAGTAAGAAGCACCAGTGGTTCTGGGGTACCCAGAGGGGAGCCTGTTGACCAGAAACATTGCACATGGCAAGTTAGCCCAGAGGAAACGTATTCAGACTTGAGCCGACAGTCTGTGCTTATACCAGAATGATCCTTTGTAGGGAAATCATAGTGGAAAGTGTTGCTAGCAATGTTTGCACACATGCCAGCAAGAGTTAAATACACATTTCATAATGCTAGCCACATGACGCTAACATGCTTCCAATAACAATGCTAGCATACTGATGTTAAGTGTGAGTAGGCTTTCCCATGATCACCTTCTTAATTCAGTATCTTGGCATGTTTAGGTAGCTTTTTTGTATCATATCTAGTGCTTTGAGTCACTCAGTATGGAATATTTTGAACCAACTGAGAAAGCAGAGTGGTTTAGCTCCCTGAATAAACACCCTCACAGGTAGCCCACCTGACCTCACTCTGAATACTAAAACAAAACAACATGAAAATATTAAAAGAGGCCATGTGGCCTTCCCCTTCTGACGAACCTCTGATCTTCCATAAAAAATAATATTACAAGACGTAATGAGGGACTGCATGCACAAAAAACACAGTATGACTAAGCACCTTATTGTGCCATTCTTCTATTGGCTGCTGTCCGACTGTGTGAACTAGGTCAGACATTTGCAAGCCTCATTTAGCCTTTGTTCAATTAAGACAGGTTTTTGTTGGCAATGCGAAGCAGAATTGGGTAAAACAGAGCAAGTATGAAAGTTAAAAAGAAAATCATCAAATGGTTTAGATTGTTTCTTAAAACCGGTAATTTAGGTTGGTTTTACAGGCTGGTTTGGTGAAAAAAAATGTAGTTTATAAAATTAAGTCCCTTACTGAATTGATTTCCAAAAAAAAACCAGTTTTTACATTGTACCACAGTTAAGACTACATGGATTTGACTCCTCACACACACACAGAGGACGCCTGGATGTGCCTGCCTTGACCTGCCCATGCTTTTGTTCAACACCTTCACGTCTTTGTCCTTCCCTTTCTATGATGAAAAATCTATCCGTGCACTTTTCTCTGCTCATGCCTTTTTTTTTTTTTTTTTTTCTTTTTTGCTGAGACATGGATTTTAAATATCATACACCTTTAATTCAGTTTCCTTTCAGGCAGAGACTTGGAAATATTGGCGACGTGCCCTTGAGGCATGAGGTGGATTAAAACACACAAGAATCTTAAACATGCAAATCTGCTTTACATCAAATACTCACATCAAGACAGAATATGTGAACAGTAGCATCATATGCCTCACTAATGCATCTTTCTCATGGGAGACATTGTTGGCTTGTCAATCTTAGGTGGAACTAATAACAGTTAATGACTCTGCCTTTGTGTATGATGGTTTATTGGCACACCTTGTGAACCAGTGCCGTCAATAATATCATTAGTAACACCTGTGCCTCTCCTGCTATGTCAACTGTAAATATTTGAACTGAGGATTATCTTTTGTATTGCTAAGCTCATTGAAACATGCATCAGCTGGTCCCGTCTCTGTGCATGCGTAGACTGAACTTTTAAGTTCAGCACATTGTCTGACTCACTTTATCCATATTCTGTTCTTATGAAGACTATAAATCTAAGGCACATAGATTAAATAGCTCATAAAAGCTTGTTTGCTTAGTCATACAGTAGCGTCATTAAAATGATTTGTTGTCTTTGATGTTGATATCTGGGGGTTTCTCCTTTAAAATCTCCACTGGAGAGAACAAATAGGCTTAGAGAAGGAGGCCTAAAGTCCTATTTTTTTAATCCCAGATCATTATGTAGGTGGATGGATTAAAGCAGTGTGTGCTATGCATGTGAAAGATGATGCTGTAAAAGTCTGAATCAGTTACAAAAAGTCATACATACCCACTCAAACACTCACACCCAGCCCGAATATGAACTATAATCAATCTACTTTCTATATCTCTGTATTTATTGGGTAAGAAAGTCCTAGAATTCATTTTCCCCCTAAATTGCCAATCATTTAAATTTAAAAATAAATAAAAACATCTATTTGTAAACTTGTTCATTTATCAACACCAATGATAGTTATTTTTACTTTCCTTTAAAGAGGCACTCTAAGCTCACTGCATTATTTTAAAGTGGTCTTTCATTATTTGTCTTTTAAGGACAAATTAAGGTGCCTCCTAAAGTGAAACTAGCTTGGCATCCTGATCAATTTGGGTATGCTAGATCAACCATAAACCCTTCTTTGCATTTTGTTTAAGCTGCAACATCAAAGTGCCCTTGTAATAAGTATATGTTTGCTTTACCATCAGACACTATTAGTGTATCTGTTCCTTTGCTCAAATTGAATGTAATGTAGTGTGATAGGGGAAAATGGCCCATGTCAACAGGTTTGGCATGAGAAGTCAAACCTTGGGGGAAAACATGTCTACCCAGAATTATTTTTTCCATTACTGCGACTTCAATCTTGATTTTTTTCAATCTTGATTTTTGGAGTGAATGGAGCACAACAAAAATCATTTTGAAGTGAAAGAGAAATATCTCCCACTTCCACACTGCAAATAAACATTAATTTAAACATCACTAGAGGGCAGTATATTTCATATTGTGTCTGATGATGCTGTGCAAGTATAAATAGTCTCATTTAGCTCAGTGGGTCGATTATGAAGTCAAGCTGCATTGAACATGGATAGGGAAACACTTTGATTAAGAACCCACCTGCAGTGTTGACTGTCACAACTTCGCTGAATGGGCCCGTGCCCAGTTTGTTTTGTGCCAACACACTGAACTGGTACTCCGTCCCAGGCTCCAGCCCTGGCACCACCAACCAGATCTGAGCACCAGAAACTGGCATTGAATGCCAGTCGTGTGGACCGAAGTCTGTTCTCTTAGACCTGAGAACAGAAATAAGAGAAAAATTACAGACAATTTATGACTGACTGCTGAATTTACTGAGTCTTAGGATTTCTACTGTATGATGGTCTTTGTAGTCTTGTAGTTTATTTAATGGGCATGCAACAACACTTTTTTAAGTGATGCATATGCAATGTATGATACAGCATTGACATTCCATCACTTTCCCAATACACAGCATAAATGATGGATATGCACATCAAGAAAAAATCTGAAAAATCGGTTGGGAAATATATCATATATTTTATTATTGTCAATAGCGACCACAGGAAGAGAAAAAGAAAACCAGACTACTTCCTAACACTCAGACTAGAACTATACAACCTCGATGTGGTGTTTCCACCTCTGCAGACTGCAGACATTGATCTGAAGTGGAGTAAGAGCACTTACACTGGACCGTACCACACAGAGAATGTCTGTTCGAAGCCGCCATCATAACCTGGTTCCCAGGACACATTAGCAAAGGTCGTTGAGGGTAATACATGGATGTTACCAGGAGCGTGTGGGCTGGTGCCTGAGTGATTCACAGAGACAGAGAGAGGGAATGGATAAAAATGCAAAAATACTATTCTACTTATCAGAAGTAAGTTATTAAAGTTACAATATGTTTTCATGAATATATATATATATTGTCAACATGCATGGTGAATTAACATTTTATGTGAGAGTCAAGTCAATATGAGGAGCATTTTGTTGTTATTTTCGCCCCCTAAATGCTGCATCTAGGGTTGACCTCCTCTCTGTGGATAACGTGATGCTGGCTGAGTTGCTGACCAGTGTAAGGTCAAGTTAAAGTGCAGCAGTGCTGTCTGCAGCTCTGCTCATCCCACCCACCTAACAGCTGTGCTGTGTGGCCTGAAGCCAGTTACTTCTCACTGCAATAAAAGAGAGAGGGACCTGAGCGTGGTCTGAGGAGCACAGCTGCCTCTTCTGCCCTGTGACACCTGTCAGCTGAAGGCTGGTCACATCGAGGCAGGCGGAGAGCTGCCAGCTGTGCGACAGAGTAACGGCTCCATAGGCACTGGGGCAATGGGCTACTGGGGCAGACTTGCTCACATTTTTACAGGCCTGCAGACGATGAAAAACCTCAGGCGAAAAGAAATAGCTAATAACTTTGCACTTCTTGTCAAGGTTAGATAAAAAGATTAACAATATCGACATATATAATGTCATTTATCCATGTGAAAGTAAAGCAAAAAGGCAGGAAGTGAGCCTAGTTACCTGTTAGCTCAGGCTAGCTTAGTTTGTAGGCTACAGTGAAAAAATAACGTGTTAGGTAGGAAATAATTGAGCATTTGAGCTGCTAATTTTGTTTTAGATCCAGACCCCCACAACCCTCAACCAGCAATCTCCAATATCTATACTAGCGAACAAGCTTTTGGCTGCTTGATAGTTGGCAGACATTTCTTAGAGAACTATCAATCCTCTTTTTAAACTCTAAAAAAGTAGACAAAATGTTGTCCCAAAATGTCAAACTGCTCCTTTATATACATAATGATTGTACAGAGTCAGGCTAGCTTTTTCCTGTTTTCAGTTGCAATGCTAAGCTAAGCTAACAGAGATCTGACTGGAGCATAATATTTAGCACACAGACATGAGAGTGGTATCAATTTTCTTATCTTACTCTGAGACAGAAAGCAAATCAGTTTATATCCTGAAATGTCAAACTGTTTTTATGAAACACCAAAATAAAACTGATCCACAACATTTTATAATCTTATTAAAATAACTGCTAATACTGCTGAAAGACTCAACCAAGTAAATGCCATAATCAACACTACCGACCCAAATTGGATTAGAGAACAGAGAACAGCAGTTACAGTAGAAATGCTAATGGTATAGTAATTAGTCGTCAAAATCTCAACCCTACAATTTGCACTGGCTGGTGATTAAAGGAGACTACAGATGCAGCCCACAGATAATTAAACTTACAGCAATGTTCAGTTTTAAACTTGTTGCCGTTAGTTGACACTTAACATAAATCTACAAATGTCAGGAGTAGGATGGGGGGGTGGCAGGTGGACGGGTTGGGGACACAGTTGCAGACCTGGGGATGTCTTAAAGTGATCCCAGAGGGATAACTAGAGAAAATCGCAAGCGATTAGATTGGACTGGAGAAAACAAAAACAGTACTGAGCAAAAACAAACAAGCTTTATAAACTAAATAATGCACCGAAAAGAAGGAACTAAACCACTGCTGCCAAGCAGCTGACTTGAAACTAAATTGTCTGGGACAACCAAAAATACACTTTAAAACACAATGGCTGCCAGGGAGGCCTTACAGGAGAACACAAAAGGCATGAGTAGAAACAAACTACACACAAGAGGAAACCCTGTTAGAACCTCTCTACCTCTGAAGGTGAGATAATGAGTAAACACAGAGCACTGAAGCTCAAGAGTATATATACGCTTCCCATACCTGGTCTTAATCTAGGCCAATCAGCAACACACACACACGCACCTGACACTACACTGAGTTGATTCCCTCACCAACCTCATTGAGCAACAAGGGCAAGTACCCTCACAAAAAGTATAAATGTCCTTGGGCTCAACAGACACAAACTGTGGTGGCTGAGTTCATACTACAGTGAGGTTACAGAATCGAGCAGTAAAATGACTCTATAAAGCTGTTACAGATAAGATCTGATTAAATTTGAATGACGCCTGAGGGGAAATTGGAAAGAGGCAAGGTTTTTGAGGGATGAGAGTCTTCTTCATGCAAATCACTCACACCAAACAGAAAACAGTGGGCTCACAATCAACTCAAAATAACCACAAAAGAGTTGAGTCTGTAGCTGAAAGTAAGAATAGTCTGTTGAGCTGAGAGCACAGTGCAGAATCATTTTGTACCGATGACTAGGATACGCGTGCTGGCAGTGATGCTTGTGACCACATTGGTGGCTACACACTCCCATTCTCCATGGTCCTCCTTGCTGAGGGACAGAAACTGTAAGCTGCCGCTGGGTAGGATGTTGTGCTTACTCTTGCTTGGCTTCCCCACCTTCAATGGACATGGAAATCACAGCAACACAGTTAAGAAGTGTTGGGAAAAGTTATATTTCTCAAATACAGGTTAAAAAAAAATAGCATAGAGGATGATAAGTGGTTTAACTGCACCTTTCTCCAGGTGATGGTTGGTATATCAGGGTCTCCAGAAGCAGCACAGGGGATAACTAGCTCTCTCCCAGCCTCCTGACGGTACTCCCCCCCAGGCCTCACATTAAAGTAAGGGGGATCCTATGCGGGATAAGACACTCAAACTTAAGATAAAATGTCTATACTCAAACATGCAGAAACTGAACCCCACGTGGAAAGAGATGTACCTTTAGCACCAAGGTGGCAGGGGGGGACATGCCCATGGTACCCAGGGCGTTGTAAGGCACACAGGTGTAGGTGCCCAGGGAGTCTTCTGTGGCCTCTGCCACTCGGATACTTCCGTCTTGCATCAGGCTCCAACCGGGGTACTACAAAACAAAATTCTTGGTTTCAATAAATCTCAAGGTGCTGGGCTTAATGTTTTTGAACTGCACAAATTACCAAAAATGTCCAAAGATTCTATTAAATTAAATACATTATAATAGATTTTCCTTTTACAGTTTTATTTTTGCTAGGTAGAATATGATTATGTAAAAATGGTTTACAAAGAATAATTATTAAGTTTTAAGGTGATAGACACATGATGAATAGTAAAACAGAGTTGTAATAAGGAAAGGTATGTATATGCTAATATAATTATTCAAATAAAAACTTAGTAACAAACCAGTAAGTACATAGTTGCATGCTCCAAAATGCTAAATAGGGCAATTTAATGTAAAGTGATAAAAGTGAGGTAAAATTGTTACTGTATATTTACAGTAACTAACAGAGAGTTGACCATCGAACCCTGAGGTAGACTAACCTTCTCCACTCTGAGAGGATAACCATCTTTCTCCCACTTCACCGATGTCACAGGTGGGTTGGCATCTACCGGGCAGCGGATGAGGCCTGGCAGTTTCCGTGGGACGTAGATGACCGGAGGCATGTTGATCACTCTGGCCGGGTCTGTAGGTAAAGTGGAGGTCAGGGTTAGGCATGCAGGTTGTGTGATCGATAAAACATGAGCTTAATGTTTAATGCAAACTAACTTAATGAAATTTCAAATCAGAAAAGTGAGAACAGAGCGCTCCAAAAGGGGGTCCTATGGCATTCACACAAGAGATTAAGATGTTTTGGGAACTGATGACAATGACTTTATTCAAAGATCTTTTTTTTTTTTGCCATGTTTTTAGATAAGTGACTTTGTGCATGATGCAGAGGAGAACATGTTATCCTCACATGGGCCTTGGCCTTTATGGCACATTGCCTTATTGTTTACGGTGAGAAGGCAGACTCAGAGGGCAGAAAAACACCAAGCTGTGGGCGTGTCACCCACCTGGGGAGGGGTTACTGCCCTTTGTGATGTCATAAAGGGAAAATCTCCAAACAGCCTGTTTGAGCACACATTTTCTGAAAAGTAGAGCAGGCAAAAGACTAAGAGGATGGACTTTTCTCAGAACTGGGGGGGGTTTGTAGACGGACTAGGGACACATATTAGTGTAATGTGTATTTTGCTTAACAACATAAAAAGTCATAAAAGAGTTGTGTTATTTATATGTATTTCTTTCATTTAACCTTTTCTTAATACTTCAAACAGATTGAAAACTGCATCACGTGATCATAAATGTCATACATCTATCTCTTTATCTCCAATAATCACAGGATTGTTAACATATTACTCTAAGGTCCTACTCAGACTACTTTAAGATCTATGAGTTAACTTTCTGCATACAATCCTGAGTGATTCTGAGATAAATGGACAGTCAGAGTACGCTTGGCCTGAAGCTTCCGGGACCCTGGTTTAATTATAGTTTGCCATGTTTGAGGCCAGTGATGAAATCAGTGCCTGCAGTGCTGTGAATCCCCTGGCTCTCTCTCATACTGTAGCACAGTAATCAATGACGGGCAGCAACTTGGGAGCAAATTAACTCAACGCACAAGTGCTGTTCCTTTCTCTTTGGTCTGAAGCTGATGAACAGGAAGGTCACCGTTTAATTTTAGGGTAGTTTTAAAGAGACCAGGGGGAACAAATGGAGTCTGAGGATGAGTGGTCTCCGTCTTTGAGCACAGGAAAGAGGAGGACTGGTTAATAATTGTATTCTTAAAATCCACTCTGAATATGATGAGTTCAAAGAGGCTCAGTAAAAAACGCATTAAGCTCCCTCTCTGCCACATGTGACCTTGAAATTCAAGAAGGTTACTTTGCGTTACAGCACAAGTAGCAGCGCTGCCAAATAATCCGGCAGCCTCCAGCACGAGCAGCCTCCATACTGCTGCTGCCGCTACTGCTCCCTCCTCTCACACACACAGCTCACTGTACCGTCTCTCCGCCCCTTCCCCTCCTCTTCGTTGCCACGGTAACACTCACACTGAACAGTCAGGTAGGCTGATGCCGAGGGCGAGATGCCGAGGCTGTTGCTCGGACTGCAGGTGTATTTCCCAGCATCCTCCGGCTTGACCCGGAAGATGATGAGGGTGCCGTCGATGAGAATGCGCACTCGAAGCTTCAAATCACTGCAAGGAGACACAAGACGTTTTGTCACACTGTGTTACTGAAACACACCGAGAGGATAAGGCAACACATCTAATTTCTTCTTCCCATTTTCCTTTGGCTGAATTACGTGAAGGTGCCATAAGAGAGCAGCAGAGAGTCAAACAGCAGCTCAGCTCTGACAGGGATCCAAGGAACACAGAGTACAGAGCGAGAGATTCAAAAAAATCTTCTAATTGCCTTTATCACAAAACGGTACAGCCTTCATTATTACCCCCTGATACTATTCAAAATTAAACACTGCAATGATGGAGCTGCACAGAGCTCAACAGCTTACTATCATGCTGAATATGTCCTTAAATAAAATGTTTTCTGATAGGTCCTTTCAAACCTTTTATACAACTCTTTATCACGGCTTCAAAGTCGGTTCAATAAGAGGCAAATACTTCAAACATCTGTGTTGTTAGTTTATTAAAAATACATTTGACCTCTTCTGAAAAATCTTAAGGGTTTGCGCAAAATTCTTTGGTCAACTACTTATTTGGCATTTATTCATGAACAACCAAGATACTAAACTGCCTTTTTACCACAGACCATGATTAGAATTAGCAACCCTTTTCTGTGCCTATAAATGGCTCCAAATCGACCTTAAGAATGTAAAGAAAATAAAAAAACAATTATGAATCATGAAAACAATGATGAAGAAAAATAAAGATAATTGCGATATTACTAGAACAAACTGCATACATAAGCATTAATATAGACTATAGACTAGTTTGTGTGAAGAAAATCCTGTAGGGTAGCTGTATCATCCATGACTTGATGAACTGTATACAGTACATGACTATAAAATGACACGATGTAATTTAAAATGTTCCATATGTGTCTGTATGTATTTATACACGTTATGTGATACTACAAATAAAATGATATATATATATGTGTATGATGGGAGAGAATAAAACCAAGAATGTGGTTTTATAGAAAAACATTAGAATGATGACACATGTTATAATTACATGTAATCTTAAACTACATCTCTCTTTGTAATACCTTATGAAGGTTTATAGCAGAAACATTTTGATGCATTTCTCTTTAATAGATCTGTAACTATTCTGCAGAAGGGAAGGGAACATTTTTTTTGGATAGGCTTTATTAAAAGCAGTTTAAAGAAGGTAGGACATTTCAGTTCCTTTCCTTACAAACTATTTTATTTGAAGTCCAACTCCCATTCACTCCTTCTTCTTTCTTTCTTGTTCTGTCTGCCACTCTTTAGTTATGAAACCCTCTCAGAGTCTAAAGGCCGGCTCTGGAGTCCCCGCAGAGGTCCTGGCTACGCTTCAGATCAGCGCTGCATGATGACACAAGGCCTGAGTCATGTGATATTGCCATCAGACTGCACTAACTCGCCTGGCACTGTCCAGACAGACCCCCGCCAGGCCGCTCACTCTGCCTCTGGGACCGCAGCGGGACAGGGCACTGACACACACACACACACAAAGCAAAGGGCTTGGAGACACACAATGTCACCCACATCACAAAAGCCCGGGGTAAAAATCTTGATTTGAAGATTTGAATGACTGAGCAAGTCGCTCTCTACAGAGAGATACCGCAGCTACGGTACAGAAGTGAACTTGATCATAACTTTACTTCTTGAAGTAGACGTTGTCCTCCTCCCAGAACCAGGTGTACGTCAGGTTGCCGGGATACGCCTCCGCTTGGCAGGTGAAGAGTGCATTCTGGGATATGTTTACAGTGACGTTTTCTGGTGGGGAGACGATGTATGGAGGCCCTGAAGAGACAGAAAACAAATGTTGTAGCTTGTCCAGCACATGCGCCTAACCATGTAAAGCTGCAAAAAGGGATTGAACCTTTTTTGGTTTCCACAAATTCCTGAGGAAAAGTCTGCTGCGTGCTCTACTACAACTAGCTACCTGCTAACTTTGTGTGCCTGCTACATCTGTGCAGATATACAGTAGTGTTCATTTAAAACACGTTCTACCAAGTGAGGGGGGGGCAGAAACAGTAAAGATATGGGCTGTTAAGACAAAAATCCTGAGTTGACACATTGTCATAGAATCAGTTTTCTCTTTAGAAATATTTTTTAGACACTTTTATGGTCCCACCAAAAAGCTGTATTTTTTTTATAGTTTAGCTCCTTTGGGCAGGAACTGCAAACAATATTTTCAACTGACCAAGCACTTTTGTAATGACCAAATGGTTAGAGTGGTCATTAAGTCTGCAAAGATTTGTCTCCATTAAATTGAAATACAATACTTGCGTTTACACATCTGTTTTTTTATGAGCACTGTTTATACACAGTGACTAAAAATAATATGCAGTGCCATCTTTGTGAAAATAAATCCGAACCTGCTCACTTGTGTCTTGGTTCAGCACTCAACAGTTTTTATTTTTAGGTTTTGTTCCTGTTCACTATATTCTGTAATAGAGTTTTCTGGGTTTTCATCATTTCATCTAAATAAAGGTTAAATATAAAAAAAAAAAAATTGCTTTACTATTGCTCGTCAATACAAATCATTAAATGAGCAATATGTAACTGAAATGTAGTGTTTAAAAAATGGGTACTGCAGTCCAAATTCAAAACATTGGAGAGAGCTGTCTCCCCCTCTTCACTAGAGTCAATGAGTACACGGGTTGCCAATGTCGGGACGTGGAAGCTTCAGTGTTTAGCCGGCTCTGCATCGGACTCAAAATCTATCTGTGTTAACTTTTCAAAATCATCTCCAATATTTATCCCAGACAAATGCTGTGGCTTTTAGGTTGGGTAGAATCAGCTACTGTATATCTAAGCCAGTTCCCATACCCGATTCCACTGCTGCAACAACTTTTGGTAAGCCATGATAACTGGTCTTATGTCTGGCAAATTGAAGGACGTCCAAAACAGCCGTGTGGGAATGCCTTAAAACGGCCTGTCTTCTCTGGTTAAATCTAAAACAAACTAAAATAAATTTAAACTTTAGAAGAAGGACATACTGGCTGCTATATTGTTGTCAGAGAAACCAGCACTTCAAAATACCATGTTTCTTAATGTCTGATGTTATAGTAAGGTAATGTTATGATTTAATTCAGTAGATATTTGACATATTGAACCTTTAAAAAGACCAATTACTGATAAAATCATCATCTATAAAATGGATATAGTGTTGATTAATAATCAAATGACATCACACAGCTCTTTTTTCTCAAAAAAAAAAAAAAAAAAAGAAGGTACATCCTGGGATTTTTGTCCTAGGCTTGACACACTTTAAAAGAGTCCAAAGAATGTGTGAATAAGCTGAGTACAAACATGATACAGACTGCTTTATCATACAGTAGAAAAAACTTGACTTACTGTCAGTGTTAAAGTGTATTATTCAATGATATAAAAAAGATCCTGTTGAACCACATGCAGGCCTACGCTGACTAAACTATTGGGCTGTTAACATTTATCTCAGGATCAGAGAGAGTGAGAGCACACACTTTACATTATTTACAATATAACACTACAGACTGATGTAAAGCACAGGGTGCAGGCAGCTACTGTAACATTAATAGTAGTCAACTTCTGCATGCCTCACATAGTAACCTTTTCATGCCCTGAGGTTCTCCAGGTTTACTCCAAACTCTCAATAAAACAGCAGGAGCCATGAAAGGTAAGCTGTCTTTTATGAAGGGGCCCAGATACAAGCCTGAGCTTTATTTTCCCTCTCAGAGTGCTCGGCTTTTATGCGTTAGGTGGGACGGCTGGCGGCGCTGCGCGGTTGTCTCACACAACAATTAAAAACAGATCACAGAGTGAGAATCATGACTCCTCAGATATCTGTTTGTTATTGCTCTGAGTCATAATCCTAACCCGCTTTTTATTTCACAGTGGTCTTCATGCCAACACTCAGCCAGACTCAACATCCACTGCAAACATTTTATTACACACGCCAAGGACATTGTGTTTTCTGTTTGTTTGTTCGTCAGCAAGATTACAGGAAAAAACGTCTGTCCTGATGTACATAAGACTTGTAGCACTCTTTAGTTTTTATTTCTTAAAGGTACTCATACAGAGTCTCATAAGGAGCATATTTGCCTTTATCACATATCACACTGATTTGTATTCCGGTGTTAAATTCAACACAGGTTAACATGATTATCACAGTGGCTTTGTTGTAAAGGTCAGACGTTCACATGGCAGATAAGACTCCTTTAAAAGCGTGAGGAATAACAGGGACGTCATCCGTCGTAGTTTGATTAAATCACGTAACCCCCCCCCTGGAGTAAGGTTCCAAAATTCAAAAGTCTGATAAAACTAATTTTAACCCTTTTTTTCTAAATGTTGCTGCCATTAAAAACCAATAAAGGAACCTAGTACATTAACTAAGGTTTGTTCAGCACTCATTTAAAGATGTCTTCTAATGTAGACTAACAACAAACTATTTCCTCCAAATTGTTTTCACAACTACAAGAATTCCACGTCTTCAAAAGATTGAGCAAGGACTGATTTCTGTTTTATATTTGAATCAAAGGACATATTTGCATGTGCAATGATCTCAATCCTGGAGCAAGTGTCACGTTTTTCCTCATTAGATCATATTCAAACAAAATGTTTTATTTTTGGCCCTTATTTTAAATTCGGTGAGAGAGAAACTGGGAAACGACAGGCAGGATAGAAGCCAAATGTCAGATTTGAACCCGGACCACCTGTCTGGAGGACTTCATCCACTGTACACAGGGCATGCACACCACCGGCGCGCCAATGATTTAAAAATATATATCTTTTTTTTAATGTGACAAAAATAGTCAGTTCTGCAATAAAAGCATGCTTATCGACAGTTTGCAATGTGGGCTGTAATGTTCTGATAAACTTAATATATCAGGCTTAAGCAAACAGCGTATGTCTGTAGAGCAAAGAGGGTTTTTGAATGTATATCATAATTCCTCAGACATGGTCTGATTACATACCCACATTAAGTCTAATGAAAAATAACTAGGTAACAGCAGAGCTCATGTATAGAGTAGTGTGTTTCATACGGTCATATGGTGTTCTTTTGTGCAGAAGCTGAATGTACAGGTAGTCTCATCCTGTTGGACAACAACTGCTGCAGTGTGCTGTGTTTGAGAGAACAGCTACTGTAGTAAAAGCAGACATCAAGGCTTGCAGACTTGATGCAGTTGCTTTACATGCACCGCTGCTCACGCTATACACGGTTAAAACACGGTACTTTTTTTAATGTGTGTTTGAAGTGTCTGTGCACAGTCATTTACTGCACACTTGGAACAAAGAGGGGAGTAATTCCTCTGCTCTGTTTGCACCTACAGAAGGCAGGGCATTAAAATAACTCTAGCATAAAGGCAAGATGCTCTGTTTCCTGTTAAATACACACAGTTAACACCCCCTCAGCCCCGCTGCATCAGGAGACTGGGAGAGCTGCAGGCTGGCATCACAGCCATCTATCTGATCTGTGTCTAGCAGAGAGCCTAGTTAATGGACCGGAGACAGACAGGGACGTTCTCACACACAGATCCTGTTGTACACACAACTCTGTGCACAGGAGCACACACACATACATGTACAGACACACACACACACACACAGGCCCCAGACTGAGCTATTGACCGACTGATACAGACTCACGAGGTGCTGTATGTTAGATACATCAGCACACAAGGGGGTTGCAGGGCTCTGCTTTAAAATGCTGCTACAGAAAATGCCTCCAAGTATAAATAATGAAACGTAACTACTTCACTGATGTAAATGGAACATTTGGCCTGAGGTAAAAAGTTGGAAAACCTGTTTTTTTAATTTCTTATCAAATACTCATGATCCTTGCAAATGTATCTGTAAATAGCGCTAATTATTAATCTCTTATACATAGAGCCTTAGGACAGTGTCCCTTATTCATGGATACAGTACCTTGAACCAGCAGACGGGTGGTGTGGAGAACCTCTCCCTGGTCACTGTAGGCTCGACATGTGTACGCCCCTCTGTCATCTCGAGTGATGCCAAGGATGCTCAGACTGCCATCATGTACCTGCACATACAGGAGACACAGATGGCATCAAGTCTTTAACACAACATGTTGAAATGATTTGATTAAGACAAGAGCTCTCAGAAAGAGCTTCCTGAGATTGAAAATTGAATTCTGAGTTTTGAATTTTGGACACACTCAGTAAAAATAGAAAGATCTTACATTGAATACATTGAACTCTGAGTGGTTGGAAATTATTTTTTTGAAGAATATTGGATTCAGCTATTGAAATATATATATATATCTTTTAAATGACTCTTTACTTTTGTTTAAAGTTACAATTCTAAGTTGTAAGATTTGCTTTCCTTGGGGACACTTATGGCTTATTTGTAGGTGTGATTTGGACCTTTGTTTGGCCAGCGTTTCCATTGCTTGGGTGGCAACTCAGCCGAGACCAGAGAAAACAGTACATCACTTCTGACTTCCTTTACTCTTCATTTAATATTCAATTCTTCAAAAAAAAAAAAGGTGAGAAACTGTAAAAGCAAAAATGTGCTGTATCACTTTAATGAATGTTGTATAGTATGTAATGATTTATCAAATGACATTTTTTAAGAAGTTATTTGAGTAAAGCACAAAATAATCCCAGGTGGGTTTTTTCACTCTATCAGTGAGTTTGGGGTGAGAGTCTTCTCTAAAGAAAATCCATCAAACACTACGAAGTCATAAATGTGTCATGCTTTAATTAACTCCAGCTCTGATTCTTGCATGTGGTAGCTGTGGAAACGTCTCGCTGTGTGTTGCTGCTGCTGCTGCTGCTGCATCCCTGTGTGCAGCTCACTGATGAGACGCAATAAGTGTTGAAGAAACACATTAACCAAACCCTAATAGAAACACCCTCATAAATAATGCAACAGGTTACGAGAGGCTCTGTCCATTCAAGTCACACACAGCTGTAGTGTGTCCATTCATGCAGCTGCTACGCCCGCAGAATTATTCCCATTCATCTGTCTTCACATGTTTTATGGAGAGACAAGAGACCCTGCGAGTAGATCAACCAGAGCAACATTTAGCTTCTGTCAGTCTGTTGGCAAACTGAGTCATCATCTCTCACATTGTCTATCACAAGATCACACTTTGTGCATCACGGCTTTAACAACGACACGTGCGTCCTGCTGAGAGCCGCAAGTGCAAACTAAACACTTATATGGTGTGAAGAGATCGCTCTGAGGCCCGTGAAGAAATGTGTATTGATTTATAAAGAAATGCAAAAATAGGTATTTTAATCGACACTCTGGCTTTTTCTGCATTTTTTTATTGCAGTGGTTCAACTTCCTAATTACTAATGCCATTGAGCTGCTGTCTTTTTATGTTAACATTTTCTCTGAGATATTTTATCTTACTACTTTGGAAATCTTTCAAAGGATTCGTAAAGGTAGAGTTGTGAAGGTCAAATCTAAACATTCTGCTCAGGCAGACAATAAAACGGCTTACAGTAAAGACCAAATTGAGTTTTTTGTTGCACCGCAATCTATCAAGTATCCACATTACAAACAATAATGCATTTTTCTCTCAGTGTGTGTGACCATGGAGAAGCCTTACATTTCTCCAGAGCTGGAACAGAAACAAAAATCATTACCCAACACCACATGGCTATTTTGGTTTCAAGATTTCAGGAAAAAAAAAAACTTTTCCTGTTCTGATAGGAAAAGGTACTGTAACTCCATCTGTTACCATTATGCAAATCTTTATCTTTCTTACACATATTATTAACATTCTTGAAGATGTGAACGTTGTACACTTTAGTAACTATTTTTGCAAATCTAATCGTCCTTCTTCGAAAAGATTAGTCATGTAAAACATCATACGTTCACTTTTCTGTACTGAATATTGTTGCCTTACAGTTCTTGTTTCTAACTGTTGTAATTGTTATGCACCAACATACTAAGGCCCGTCCTGTTTCAAAATCAAATCCCCTTTAGATCAAACAATTACATTTATAAAGCCCATAAAGTTTTCAATGTAGAATTCTTTCAATACCATAAACTAAACAGAGTCTCCTGATATGTAACAGTCATCAGTTCATCCCCGTACTTTCGGTGCCATAGCTGAACTCAATTTGAGGTGGGGGAGAGAAGATTAAAGAAAAGGAGGAGGAGGAAGTCTGCAGCAAATGAGGAGAGAAAGCGGACAGGGGATGGAGGAAGCTTCAGATAAGGTGAGGCAGGAGATGAAGGCAGAATCTCCATTTCTGTGACTTCTGCCTCTGACACATCCAGAGAGAGAGAGAGAGAGAGAGAGAGAGAGAGAGAGAGAGAGAGAGAGACTACATTCAGGCTCAGAAACAGCAGGAGGCTGTCATTGTTTTCCTTCTTTCTTTTTTTTTTTGTTTGCTTGTTATCCAAGTTCACTTTTGGGAGAAAACCCTTCTGCGTTTCTGTTCTCTCCTGCACAACAGCGCTGTTTAGTATCATTGGTTAACGGTTCTGTGCAAATAAATCAAGTAATAAAGTAAAGTAAAGAGAAGAGAAGAAGGATTCCTCCTCTCTCACTCAGTCTGTCACATTCCTGCCTTTCTCCATGACTTCTCCATGGATCTGCGAATGTGACTGAGCAAATATTCCCCTCATCCTCGCCCTCGCTCTCAAACACTCTGAGAAGGACTTTTTTTTTTATAGCCTGGAACATACCCTTCAAACATCCAAATGGATGAGGGAAGCTCATAAATGTGCTGCTCTTTTTTTTCTTTTTTTTCTTTTACATGTTTCAGTATATAACTCTGGGGCTAGTGAAGAACGGCATTTTGCTCTCACTAGCGATTTTCTTTTTTAATGTAACATTCATATTAGGACTAATGTAATATTGATGCAGAAGAGGGGGGATTAATAATGCATCAGAATGTTGTCGAATCATTTACGGAGGGAACGGTATTAAAAAGAGGCGACTGGAGGGAGAGATGGTGCAGCAAAGAGGGGAAAATGAAAGAGAAGGAGGAGAAGGAGGAGGAGGCCCTGCACAGATCTTCCTGTTTGCTCTCATCAGCCTGTATCACACGCACAGAAGCAAAGTGTTGAAAACACTTGCAGCAGACTGAATTATCGAAGATGTATGTGAATGTGAAGGCATGAAGGCAACAAACGATCAATTCACCTTTAACAAAAACACCTGCAGGCATAAAAAAAAACACCCTCAATTGCTCTTGGACTTGTTATGTTCACCATCTTGACACCAATTACTCTGCAGTTAGCTAACAGCTAGCTTGGGCTACATCTGATGAATGATGCCTGTAGCCTACATTTAAGTGGTTGTTCTTATGTATTGCCAATAAAGCACTCTTTTGCAAAATGTTTATTGAGCGTGTTCATTTTTGGATGAGGACATTATATCTAAAAAATAAAAGGGCAATGGTTTGATCCAGGGTCTGCAGACCCATCACAAAATCTGTTCAAAGTCCTCGCCTCTGGTAGGTGCTACAGAGCACAGTACGCCGAAACAACCACACACAAAAACTGTCTTCTCCCAGAAAGCCACTCGGATGAACAGTTAACTCAGATTAAGGGGAAAAAAACATCCACTATTGCTGTAAAAAATATTTCATATTTTAAATTCATGCTCTCTGGAAATAGGTTCCGAAATGTAACCTGACACACAACTAAACGTATTTCAGCCTTTACGACCTCTCCATTTCATGAAGTTTAAACAAAAACTTTGTTTGCAAGTTATGCGGTACTTTTTTTTCTGAGATAACAACATGTTTTCTTGCATTATTAAGTTTTTCTGTCTCAAATTCTTACTTTTTGAATGATTTTTCAGGAAGTTTTATTTGATCATGTTGACATCATTTTGATTCTAACCATCTGCAACTTTGACTCGGGATGTAACATCCTGTGGCTGTAATGAATCATCTGTCTGTTGAAGCTTTAGAGTGCTTCTGAGTCATCCCGAACACAGCAGTGTGTTGAATGTCTTTGATTCCACACAGCTGACACCACAAACCTGATGTTGCGGTTTATGTACCATAATTTCACCGCTGTCAAACCGCACTGAGGCTGTGCCAGAAATATCTTATGATGACATCACATGGACTACTTCTGGGAGTGTATCCACAGGACAAGCAATAACGTATTAAACAAAGAACAGGAAGGGCAAAGAAACAGAGTAGCAGGACGATTCTCCTTGATAGTCTTGCTGATAAATTCCCTGATGGTTATTAACCAATCAAATGGCCAGAACTTTAAACTAGTTGTCAACTTTAAAGCTTAACTTCATGTGTTTTCAATGTAAGAGTGTTTTTCCACAGATTATATCCCTAGTGCATAGCATATTGTTTTTCAAGCCTGTGAAATATCATAAACTTAACATTCAGCACCATGCAGTGATCCCTCGACAGAGTCTTTATCACAAAATATTGTCTTTTTTTTTTCCAGAAAAACAATGGAAAAAACAGATCTGAGCCTTCGTGAGATGTAGTTCATAACACACTTCCAGTACAGATGGACTCAGTGGATGACACCATCTGTGCACAAGCCCTGCTTCTATATTTGCCACAATCATAAATCCCAATTATGCCCATTACTCACGATCATTCTTACCGAATACTTAGTGTTGGTGGCGAGCTCTTCCCCCTCCCTCACCCAGCTGATCATTGGTTTTGGATTTCCCTGGGCAGAGCAGCTGAGCAGAGTGCTCCCTCCTTCTTTCGCCTCCACATACTGCGGTGGCGTCGCTGTGAATGAAGGCGGGGCTGTGGAGGGAAATGAAAAAAACAGAGGTCCTTACATCATAAAGTCATAGCGTTCAGAAATGAAGCTGTGTTCTTTTTATTTAAACTTGATTGGAATATAATGTCTGGTGTTGTCATCTGTTTCAGATGCTCAGATTATATGGCAAAATATAGATATCTTAAAACTGTTTCTTTCAGTGGGGTCTAGTTGCTGTGGAAAATGAGTTTCTGAAGCTTAAAACTCATAAACTTTAGCTCGAGACTTGGATGGTTCCTGAATGGTCTCTTAGGATAAACATACACTTGGATAAAACTTTTCCAGATATCAGTTGATCCCACAGTTTCCTGTAACACCAGAGAGAACACGGTGATGACGCCATTTCTTTCCTTTATGGTGCAGTTTACCCTTTAACAGTTTAAGACACCGCTTAGTGACATCACTGAGTTTCTGATGATGTGACTGAGCTTCACTAACAGCCACAGGGGAGCTTTACCCCTTTCTTCTGCAGTCCAACTCCGCCAGCTGCTTTCAGTGTTTCAACATAGTATTTTCATTATGAATAGCGGCACCCTGTTTAGTTAAAGAGAGAAAAGGTGCTGCTAAACAAGTGGGTCAGCGCTTTGCCGCTGGGAGCAATGCCACGCTTCAGACAAGCACCTGGAATGGAGTACAAATCGGCCAATTAGCACATTTAGACATCTGCCCGTCCATGCCGCCCTGCCACTCTCGAAATACTCATCGCATTATTTGATACAGTAGATTAATGGAGATCCTAATAAAATGCATCATTGGTTTATGTTTCCCTTCCTGATGCAGCAGACAGGTCAACAGCTAAATGAAAAAGCTCATGATGCACCATGTTAGTAACCAAAGAGGGACCATTGTGCACATGCATCACTATGAGACTGTGCTTTTAGATATACTGCATTGACTCACACTAGGAGGTTTGATGAATCCTAATTATCTAATCACTAAGACTACAGAGCCCACTGCTAAGTACAGTATAGGTGCTGAAATGTAAATGTAAGTTTAACTAATGTAATATACTTAAGAACAACTTGCAGCGTCTTGAACATCACTTCTGTATCACTAATGTTCCTTTGTTAGAATTCAGAGCAAAATACTGACTTAAAGTTAGTGATCTAATAGCTCAAATATACTGGCTTTTGAACCACATGTTAACAACCTGCTTCATCGTGAACGTAAATGTTCAGATTTGTAAAACTATGTACAACACGCATTACTGGAGGATTCCTCTAGAGGGAGCACAAGATAAATCAGACCGAGTAAAACACCAAAGTAGAGATTCTGGATTTTTATGGTGTAATTTAAACAAACATAGCATAGTTAAACATTTGACCTGTTAACTTTTTTTTTTTTTTTTTTTAAACTTTCCGCCAGCCTTGTAGCAGCTCTCTGGTTTCTCCAACATTGTTGCATCCTGTCTCATCACCTCTCAACTCTACAATGCTCGAGGCTGTTATATGCATACTGCATCTCGCAGACACGTAGCATTAAATTCTGAGGACGTGCACAACCAACGCTCCAAACATCTGTAGGATACGCAAGGCTTATGTCATGCGTTCGTGTACATGTAGTTAAAAACCGAGTACAGGATTAAGACTTATCCCTTTAAATGTTTCATTAAGTTGTATTGAAATAATTGTTTGAGGCTCAAAAGGAGATCAGACCTTTTTTTAAAGTCAAAAGTAAAAGATAAAACTTGACAAATATTCTTCTTAAAAAGTTCTCTTTCCTTTCCCTTCACTTCAAGAGGGCTCAAATTTGCAGCGCAGTAAAATGCTGCTCCAACATGAATGCAAAACCTTTTTCTTCACCTAATATACAAAACATATCAACATATAAAAACATGGTCCTTTCACTGTATCTGCAGGAGAATTTTTACTTTGATAACTTTGAATAAATTTTAACTTTGTGTTATTGGTTCATTTACCTAAAGCAGCTGGGTGCTTATTCCATCATGTGCTAATTCTAATCCTAATTAAGACTTCCCTCGAGGGATAAAGCGTCAGCTGACAGGAAATAGGCGGCACACATAGTGGTGACAGCAGCAGGTACATTGGTCAACCTGGGAGTTGTTTCACGCCGTCAGGTACGGCTCGTCACACAGAAAGTGTCAGCATGGCGGGGAAACCTGGGAGTTGCTCTACAAAAAAAAGTAAGCGGCACATCCCAGTTTTGCCCTACTTACTGCATCTCTTCATCAATTATATACATTAAAAGATGCTTGAAGATGCTGCATGTACATAGTTCTTCTTCACACAGCTCATCAGCAGATGGCCTGGATGCTCAAACGCAGGATTCAGCCTCATGCTTTGAAGGCCTACAGTGGCTGTTGCTTGCTCACTAACTCAGGAGTGTGTCTGAATGGCTTGATTCCCTCCCCTGGTCTCTCTTTTGTTGTCTCTGCTCCTCTGAGAATACAGCAGCATACAGTACACATTTTTCATTGATTTCACATCATGAGCCTCAAAGGCGTAACGTGTGTTTCACTGGAAACTGTAACGGAGTAGAAGTAGGCGGCACTCAGGGAGACTCGCCTGTCTCTCCTGCACTGAAAGTGCCATAAAATTCTGGATTATTATATTTTTTAATACAGAAAAGAAACAGGGGGAATCATGAAATCACTGCCACACTCACGTCATACCTTATTTCTGTGGCAGGATCACACAAGTAAATATTATGTTAAAAATGATAAACTCATGACACGGACAGACTATGCACCCCTATGTTCTATAAGTTGTGCACTTTCATTGAAGATAGAAGGCGGGACATAACGCTGGGATGAATTTGATTGGATCGTAAGCTTCGCCAAAGCATTTTAATGCTTAAAATAAAATTATAAAATAAGCAAACGCCCCCTGCGTACAGAATGAGTCATAGGACATTTGAAACATTTTACAGGATTTTTGATTTACTGAAATATATGTGGCAGATATAATTGCAGATGAATGAACATTTAACATAGGAGCCCTGGATTTAAACAGGGGACATGTATTTTTCATTTCATGGGGACTTTAACAAATATTTACTTCTCACATTGCTGCAGTGGTGTAGAAGTGCACTCAGGGATGTGACAGCACACTGTCACATCACTGTCAGGTGAGGATTCAGGTGCAACAGATCACGCTTCAAGACATGCCCATCGGTGATGGTAAAACTAGTACGCTACTATGCTCAGTTTCAATTGAGCTCATGTGAGCAATTTGCAGAATGTAAAGAAAAAAATCTACTTATTATTTTAATCTGTATCATGTGGTCTCACATGGGCCTGAGGATGACTGGGCTCTACTTGTGGGCACATTAATAGTGACTGACGGGCATACACACAAGAGAAATATATGAAGCTGGTGGACCAATGAGCCTCATTTTAGCCCCAGCTGGGTCAAACTAATGGGCCATTAATGCCAGTGAATAAGTAACGCAGTGACTCAGTGACAGGGTTTGTCTTTCAGAGTAGATGGTGAACTTAAAACCATCAGAAAATGGTGGTTGTTCTTGTATTTTTTTTTTTTGATCTCTGAAAAGCCTGCTGATGCTTGAAACATGAAGAGAAAGGAGAGACAGGCGGAGACGAGACAGGAGAGGAGGGGGAGGGGGAGGGGGAGGAGGGTGGGCAGAGAGACAGAGTGGCCTTAGTGTCTTTTTCGGGCACAAGGCCTTGCCATCTGACACCTGCCACTGAGTGGGCACGAATCCCCTGTCCGCTTGGCAGGAAGTTAAGGCCAGCGAACAGGAACTCAAAGGAGGAGTGTATGCAAATCTCAACAGCCAAAGGAAATGGGTGCCCTTAATGTCTGTGTGGAGGCCAGACGAAAATGGCACCTGCTTCCCTCACAGACGTCCATTTAGAGGACAACAGTAGCATAAAGTCTACATATGAATTCCTGTTTGGATGTCTAGACTCTGAAACAAGTGCTGCTTATGACATGACTGTCTAGTTGAAATAAAAACCCTGAAACTAACACCAGTTAAAGGCTTTTTCTACCCCACATTTAAACTGCATCTCTATAGCTAGTCCCACAAGCACTCAGGAGAGGCGGAGAAATAAAGTTGTAGCTTATTTCTCTCACCATGACATCTGTGAAGGGGTTACATTTCGACATAACTCAGTCAATTAAATTATCCTACAGATTAAGGTCAGGCATTATTAGGGACATGGTTGCTGTGAGTGTACTGTAGCTTTCTGCTAACTAATTCAGTCACTGAAATGAACTTCTCGGCCGTATTGTAGTTGTTTTGGGGATTCTGTCATCCGAATACCAGAAGTCAGAGCTCGTGTTTGTTTTTAGCAGGTATCAGCGTCTGTGTTTTTATTTTTGGACACACAGTTGGTGCCAGAAAGCGTTGTGTTCTTTTAGCTTCTTTACTTAAATAGAAAAATTACAGCACCCATAATAGAAACTCATTCGGTGGAAAAATGATGGTTACCTAGCTTTATTCGCGAGCCTGCTAATGAATTACCTACAAGCAGGGGCAAGATATTAAAGACTTCTGACTTCAGAAAACGGAAAGGTGGCCGATAAATTAATAATTCAAGGCATCAAAAAAAGTAGAAAACTGGGGGAGCCAGTAGCCAAGCAGATAGTTTGCATGCCCCATGTACAGAGGCTGCAGTCCTCAAAGTAGAAAGCCGGGGTCCAAGTGGCTATGTATGTTATGTATACAATACGAGTTGAAGGAAATCAAGACACGAGTTCATACTATCTTGCAATACACCAAATATATAATATCAAGGATATTATTAGTTCTACTGCAGCCCAAAAGGCTCAGCCTCTTTTGAAGGACGTGAAGAGTAGCAGAGGAGGGAGAGGGAGGGAGGGAACGGTTAAAGTTAAGAGTGAATACTGATGAGCCAAGCTATAGAGAAACACAGACACACAAATACACAGACACCAAACATCACCAGAGTGTGCAGGTGACGGCAGAGTATTCGCTCTTCAGCCACAACTTCAACCCTGCAGACAGAGCTCTCATTCAGCTGCCTTCAAACGAGACGCTCTCATGTCAACATCGATGTAAAACACAGAAACACAGGGCCGAGACATTTGCAGCGTGTTGTTTGCGGACACAACAGACACAGTATACATAGGAAACATTATGTTGTGCGTTTTAATTACCATTTATACATATCAGCATTTCTCATTCCCAAGTGATCATGCAGCTCGGAGGACTTAATAAATGGTTCTTTATGCAGTATTTCTGTGTTATAATCATTATTCAAACAAAAAGAATTGCTTTCACTGTAAAACATATGCACGGCCAAATTAAATATGCATGAGTTTCACACACTAGTCAAACAGCAAGCGCCAAATATACATGTGAAAGAGCTCGACGTTATTCTGCAAGCAAAATCTTTCTCTAACAGCCCATGAAGGATCGCAGCTTTGTGCAGTTAGAGACCAGTAAAAACTTAAAACACGAGAATTAACAGCTATTCATTGCCTGTTTAAGAGATATTCTCAAGCTGACATTTACCAAATACAAATAACTAAGTCATGCATTTGATGAATATACATTGTGTAGTTGCATCTGCAAAAAAAAAAAAAGCAGATGTAGGGTTGAAAAAGATGAAACACAAAGGCATCTTTGTCTCTGCAACAATGTGAAGACACACTTCACATATAGGGTTCTTTAAGCCACTGGGGCTTTCCTGGGAAATGCAAAGGTGCAGATTTTTTTTCCGCCTGGTCATCACTTTGATCGCTCTCAGACTATCACAGACGATCCCTGCCGGAACCGCCTTAAACAGGCCACAATCAATTCTTCCCTAACCAGCCTCTCAGCCCTTTTTACCCCAGGCCTTTTGAAAAAGAGATGCAGTAGTGATCTGAAACTGTGAATAACGGTCACTCATTCAGATGTGCCATGAACAACGGGTCACTGGATGCGTGAGCTTTCTTTAGAGCCGAAACCTGATCAGTTTTTTTTTTTTTTTTTACTGTTTCTTTACCAGAAATAAAAGACAAAAGAAGACTTTTATCAAGCAGCAATACAAATGAACGCATCAGCGTATAAATGTCCTACATACAATAAGATTTCAAAATCTATCCTTCTAGGTTGAGAAGGGGGAAATATAGTTGGTAAAATATTGTATTTGAATATTGGAATGGGCAATTAATTTTCTGAGATAAAATGTCCTGTTATGACCTGTATATGTTTTTCCATTCACTTCCACTGACAAATAACATTGAATGACTATGTTACTAACAGTATGCAGTTATTTTTATTGCTTGTTTTTTTTTTTAAATCTCAGCTACTGTTATTTTAATTATTTTAATTTTTACAGTACATTCAGAAAATATTTAATTCTTTATTAGGGTTGTTATTTATGGGAGGTTGTTGTTTTAGGTATATTTACGTTATTTCCTGTTACACTGCTGGGGGGCTGGGATAACAGCCTTTTGTCTTTAATGCAGATAAATTGGAAAATGACAAGTAAACAGAATATTGAATCTTAACACATATCTTTCTGGTGTCTGTGGGGTGTGTGCAGGTGACTTACCATTGACCGTGAGGTGCACCCAGCTGCCGTTGTGGAAGGTGTCGTACTGTTGCTCCAGCATCAGGACCCTGCATTCGTACCAGCCCTGGTCCTCGGAGCGAACTGGGTCAATTTGTAAGGAGGCCTTCCCATGCAGAGAGGCTCTACCTGGAGACAGAGAGAATAGAAAATACATTAATAAAATAAAAAACTGACTGCCAATCTGTGCAATAGGTCTGTTCCTGCTTTTTAAGAAAACCTGCTTGCTCTTTTTCAGCCCTCCTTGTTCACTCCTTTTGAAATCACACTTAGCCTCATGGTCTCCGCAAGACATCAGTCATACAAGAGCAGTTGGAGGTTAAGTGCTTTACTTTAACTTTTTTATGATGTACTGGAAAAGTCTTTAGCTTCTAAAGAAGTCCCTTTTTGCTATTCAACAGGAAACTGATTTCTGAAACTGAAACAGAAAAATGCATTTCTTTTAAAGATTTGTTAAAATAAGGGATCAAATATGTTCTTCCATTCCTACATTACATGATGCTTCTCCCAGTTCCTGTCATTTTCTGCAGAGATTCAATATAGCAGGGACCACCTACAGCAGTCTGGAGCATTTCCAAGCACGAGATGGAAGGCAGGAAAACACCAAGTTATCCAGTCTCTCACAGAGTTAACAGAGACGAAAACACTTACTATACAGTCAAACCCACGGGCAATTTAGAGCCTTCACTCAGACCAACTTTCCAGTCTCTGGACTGTTGGAGGAAACAGAAAAGAGCATAAAGCACGGACTCCAGATGCAATCCAAACTCAAAGGAAGACGAGCAAAATAGTAACATAGGCTACTTCTTGTTATCTTGTGATTTTTTTTTACATTTGTCATTGACAATACCTCAATAACTTTAGTACTAGGACCAACACGCAAGTTATAACCTCGCTCTGTCTGGAGAAGGGTTGCCAACCGTCCCATTTTTGTCCCGTATTTAAAACTAAATTAGTTGAGAACTAGAATCTTAAACAATATGCCAAATAAATGTTTTATTTTGTAAAAATATAGTATACAATGATCTTTGATGATATCCAGTATGCATATCCCATTTTACAGAAAGACTTTATAATGAGGGCACTAAATAGTCTTGAATTGTGGTTAAATTTATACTCAGAGGAGGCTCCTCCCCAGCTTACAGTCCCTATGCTTGGCGAACTTTTAACTAACCATGTCCTAGCTTCATGAGTTATAGAGAGAGATTGGAGTGGTGCCCATTTTCTCATCTCATCTTGGCAAGAGAGCATAAAAAATATAATCCTCAAAATGTTAAAGTATACCTTTCACAGACTGAATGTCTCACTAAAGCATCCTAAATGAAATACCACCAACCATCATATTTCCAGTACTGGGATTTATACATAAGGCTACCTTGGAGTCATATCTTCAGCTGAATTAAAATGAAGTGTGTCCGAAATGGAGAAAGTCCAGCCTTCCACCTCACAGAAATCATCTATTTCTTAAAAAACTCTTCCTTCTTCAAGGCTCAGGATAAATTGGAATTCTAAAAGTAGGGAATCACAAGGGGATGAGAGAAGTTCAGGAAACCAGGCATGGTGAAATCTTCAGCTTCTAAGCTGCCTGTCTTCAAGCCTCCAGCCGGCTGCTCACATGGCTGCCTTTGACAGCCCAACAGACTAAAACACTCGCTGCTGCTCTGTCTGACGAGTGTTCTCAGATGGAGCATTTTTCCAAACTTTGATGTGTAGACACACTGTAAGCACTGTTTCCTGTTACTTTAGACTGAGCGTCAGGCAAATATATCGACGATGAGGGCGGGCTGAATTGCTCTACCAGCACTGTGTATAATGCAATAGATAGATACCCCAACCCTGGGATTGCTGCCATAGCTTTGGTAGAAAACTGATAGAAGCAGGAAATCAATACAGCAAAGAGGAAGAGAGAAAAGTGGGGACTGCAGTCTTGCAGTAAAAAGGTAGCTTGTCTTTAAAAAGTCAGGTCTATTTTTGCCTGGGCATTGAAGTGCTGAGTGGGGTGGCTGGTGGTGTGAAGGGTGGGGATCTACCTCAGCTCGCGTTTGTCAAAGAGTGAGACGGTGCTGCTGTAAACAGAGTTAACAGCACTGTATCCACGTCAGGCCTCGGGCCCCTGGGGCATACACCACTTACACAGTACAGGGTTCTGTCTGCTGTGAAAACAGACCAGCTAACACCTTGTTCAGATCAAGTCACGAGTTTTGTCGGATAAAAAAGGTTTAGAAAAACTCTAAAGATCCATTGTGAGAGAGTTGACAGACCCAGTGTGCTACACTTTATGGGAGGATAAAATGATATGCAGGGTTCAGGTAAAACCTCTTTCCCATTCTCTTTCTACAGCCACTCCCTGGCGTACGTTATTACACACTCAGTACAAATATTCCACAGACACACACTCAAGTTTTGGACACTGAGAATCATTTTACTTACAAATTAGCAAGATTTTTTCAGTGTGGGAGCAGTTTCTTGATTTGAGGCTATGTGTGGAACATGTGTCCATGACATTCAAGCTATTACAAATTAAGCATACAATGCTGATGGAAACCATCATCTATCACACAATGATATAGCCTCTGGGAGCAACAGCAAAGGTTTGGGGGTTTCCTGTGTAGCCATTGGTTAGAGACTTCCAGCTGACACTTACTTTTCTGTTACTTTTGTTTGCAATCTGACAACATGAGAAGCAAGAAAGGTGTTGGTGTCTAGATGCAACGTAAGAGCCAACTGTTTGCTGCACTTGTATGCAGATGTCCGTTTAAAGAAATGAATTAAAGGAAAATATTTGTTACGTAATCACAGAAGGGTTCCGGGGATTCTGTGTAATCCCTTTGGCTCTGAACCTAGCCTTGTTTCCTGTATATAGCCAATTCCATTTGAAACATTACTGGATGATACTACCTGGTCTACAAACAAACCATAACAATTTTTAGGCCAATGATTGGTTTAATAGAGCAAGAGGGAGAAGTATATAGTATAACTTTAAAGATGAGATGGGTGACAGCATCTTAGAGTATAGTATACTTTGGGAACATCCAAGAAAAGTTTCATTTGTTTGAGTTAAAAAGAAAGCCATTGTCACAGGAATGATTTCACTGAAGAAGAAAAAAGAAGAAAAGAAGAAATTGATGGTCTTCGCTGGAGATTGTGAAAAAAAGAGTGGGAGGAGAATAATGTCACATCACTTACTTGATGCATTTGTAAAATAAAGAAGGCTGTGTTGCTATCTAAATTCTTAAGAAAAAAGAAAGAAAGATAACCGATAACTTCAAACTGTATCAACATACTGTACATGAATATACTCCATCTGGAGAGCATCTCCTAAATTTGTCTCAAAGATCAGTGATAAGCGGGCCCATCAAGACACATATTAACTTGATGATTTTTCTCTCAGTATGATGACCTGCTAAACAGCTGTCACACTGGGGATTTGACTTGTGAAGCTTTCATGCACAGTTACCCTACAAATTGCAGCCAACATCAACTGCCCCACTCTCAGTGTTCCTTTTGCTCTTTTTCAGCCCTGCAAACATTTTTACACCACACCCTCTAACAACAGCTAAACAGTATGAGACTGTTTTTAATGTTACTGACCTAATTTGTCTGCACTTATTTCATGTAGAGACTTCATCTAGGGTGCACGATGAAGGAAACACTAGCAGCAGTAACGAGCTGAAAAAAGACACACTCACAAAACAATTGCAGCAAAAGATCCACAAATAAAGAAGCCAGTGAATGTACTCATGTCATCCATGGAAAGAAGCAAAGACAACCCAAATAAACACTCAATAGACAGTTTATTGAGGTAAATCAGGCAAAGGCTGCATTGAAGTATCATCTGAAGGATACTTTTATAAAGAAAGAGGCACATTGTGTTTATGCAGGCAAATGCAGCTTAAGAGAACAAGAAATGCATAAATGTTGCAAATCTATATATTTATCGAACAGGCTCCATCTAAAGATGGTGCTGAGAGAGATATGATTTGGTTTTCAACAAGCTTGTCCCAAAGCGGGACGATCTGACACTTACATTTCACAAGCTGCACATCTGAATTATTGATTGCATCATCACTTGAGCGGGCACAAAAATAGATGTTTTTAAATGTTGTAATTTCCATATAGCTGCAGGACAAACCGAACGAAATGGTTGGGGATAGATTTGAGTCTGTGAGGAGTTGTAAATTTCCCATTTAGCAGTGAATTAAACAGGTCAAACAAACAGATATAATGAGGGAAGAAATATTATCTTCTCTTTGAAGACTTTTGAGTTACATATTAAAATGAACACACCGACAGATTCGCAAAAATGAGTATGACTGGAAATTGAACAATGGTAATGCTCACTTACTCAGACAAAATGTTTGCCCTGTAGATGGATTTCCAGTAATTAAAATCTGCAGGCTGAAAATATTTGGATTCATACTGTAAGTACAGTATTGACAGATAATCTTCTCTGGTTTGGCAGCAGCTGTTTGTTGGAATAAAATCACATTAAGTCTAATTCACCAATTTCATTCATTTTGAGCGATAACAATTCATGGGAATAGTCCAAATGAGCTTTGAGACTGCAAGGCCCCAAAGAGAATCTCCAAAGCCTCAGTCCAGTGTCATTATCACACTGTCACCACGCACATGCAATCCCCAGAACCGACTTTAATCTATGTAATGAGAGCGGCCATATTCATGTTGCATCTGTTCACTGGTAATTCCTCTACAGTGGACTTGCTGCCACATGGCAACATCTCACCGTGGAGAGTGATGCTGTTTGAAAAGCGCTGCTCGCTCCGTGCTGCTCGCTCGTCAGGAGGCTACAGAAAACAAAGAGCAGCATCCAGCAGTTTCTACAGTGGCCACTACAACATAAAAAGGAGGGTTCCCCAGACAGTGAGTCACCGACATTAGTCCTTTTTGCAGTAACAACCCTGCTTGTAAAGCCCACAGGGAGGAATTACAAAAAAATTCAATATAATTTACACCACTTTCAGCCTATTTATATAAATAAAAAAAGATAAATCTTTAACGTCCACATGAAAGGCTGCTCACTCCAGGGAAATGAATCCTCCAGCTTTTTGACAAGCCCTGCTTTGCCTTTTATTTCACAGCATATTACCAGGTCAGGCAGGAATTTTTGTACTCGGTAAAGAGGTGAGAACAGGGAGGGATAATTCTGACCCCATTCTGACAGCTCGCCATCTTGTCACAGATACCGAAGAAACATCAGAGGAACCAATTTCCTGCTGCAAGAAGCCTGTGTGAAAGCAGAGGCAAACATATTGTCTACGCCAGGGGAGAGAGGTTTAAAGGTTGTGTGAAGCTTCTTTTCAAGATGAACGAAAGCATACATTTATTGTTATCCTAATTTTAAAGCTACTACAATCAATATCTTCTTATTAATAATGGATCAAATGTGATATTGGGTGCTTCACTTCTGAGATTGTAAAACAATTAACACTCAACTTTAATAGCATTTTTCAATTCTTTGTTTTAATTTTAGAGTACCTTGAATTATTTTTACTATTTTGATATGCCGTGTCCAGACTGCAAAAAATAACAATACATAAAATCAAATTTTTCTTATTTTGTGATCCCAGGCTCTAGACCACATAATGCAGGAATTTACAGTGAAAAAAAAAGTGCTCAAAAAAACTTGTTATTACCGACTCGGTACCAAAAAGCAGATTCAAAAGTTAGCAACTATCGTATCAAATCAAGCAGCATCATGGTTTGGCAACTATTTGTCAAACAGAGCACAATGCGTGCAAATGGCAGGATCCGCCTCTTCCTTTTGAGAGATCTCAAAGGGGATGCCCCAAGGTTCGATTTCAGGGCCCATTTTATTTTCTGTTTACATCAATAACCTGTGTGAAAATTTGTTGAATGCCATGTATAATTTTTCTGCCGATGACAACATCATCTTTTGTTGTTCAACATCTGTTGCACAAGCTTTTGAGTTTCTGCAGATAGCATTGAATGTTGTCCAAACTCGTCTAAGGGAACTAAAGTTGGTCCTAAACTATGATAAAACAAAGCTCATGTTGTTTTCTCATTTAAGAGAAGTACCAGCTAATGTCCCATTGATTCTAACTTCCCAAGGAAATCAAATTGAGCTTGTCAAAAATTACAAGTACTGGGATTTTCTTATTGACTGTGAGCTGTCTTTTAAAGCACATATTGCCAAATTGGCCTCTAAACTCAAGGTGAAGCTAGGATTTTATTGTAGAAATAAATCCTGCTTTTAGCTCAGAGTGAGGAAACTTCTTGTTTCATCAACCATTCTTCCTTTGTCTGATTATGGAGCTGTGCTGTATATGGGTGCCTTGCCAAATGTTTACAGTCATTGGACACCGTGTATCACTGTGCCTAAAGATTTGTGTGGTTGTAGACACCTTACTCATCACTGTGACCTGTATACGAAATCTGATTGGCCATCTTTGAAGGTGCGCAGGTATATACACTGGCTGAGTCTTATTTAAAAAAGCTAATTTTAGTTTAGTTATTTCGTATTTCTGTTCTAACCTCCAGAGAACCAGAAGCAACTATGCCTTGCGTTCCTGTGATGATTTTAAACTGTCTGTTCTTAATCATGTAATATTTATTATGACGTGTGCTGTTGCCCTCTTAGCCAGGTCACCCTTGTGAAAGGGATCTTGGTCTCAATGGGTTAATTACCTAGTTTAATAAAAAAATAAAAAAAAACTTTGATTTATTATTTTAAAAGGACACTCAAAACTAGAACTAATGGAATCATATGTAGTGATCAAACTCATATGAAGATTATAGATTATATTCAGTTATTACGTTTTTTTTTGTTACATCAATTTGCATTCATGAGTGTAAGATGAATAACAGAAACAAGTCTGTAGCCACTGAGTGTATGTCAGTCTTTGTTTACAGCCTGTCTCATATGCCCCCAGGTGGCCAAACAATCAGTTAATGCAGGTTTAATACATCCTGTGAGTCAATCTTCAATTAAATGGAATTCATTTTTGTGTTACGGCCTCATACAAGCTTTGATTTTCAAGCTGTATTTTCATTAGATTACCTTTGCTCCTCTATATGTACTACATGTCAGGGTTTGATATATTGTATTGACTCTGTACTGTACGTGCCCTGTGCTGCATTGTCACCAGACCGTGTAGGTAGGAATGTATGTACAATGTAGTCGTAAATTGCTGAGGTGCAGTTATTTCCCTCTTTGCAGATGCACAGGCCTGAACGCAATGTTCAAAATGAGACAAGAGCAGTACAAGAAACCAAGAACCTCTCAGTACCTGAGGGCCTCAGTGAACTGTACCAGGCTTTACACTTACAGGCCAAACCACTCAAGTCCCATTCTGAGGGAAAAAACACCAGATCCAGCTGAATTTGTGGGTCAATCTTCTCAGTGAAATAGGATTGGCAGGTATGTGGACACAGCACATTTGGACAGTGATACGTTTAGCTGGTTGAAAGAAACAGCTCTGCTTACAGACATAAGCTTTAAATTAGATCTGCATCAATGACGGAAAGCTATACAATGTTAAATCATGAAATGATTAAATAATGATTATGGCTTACATCTCAAACGTTTTTGAAGTTATATTTCAGTACTGTATTCTTCAGATTGATACACTTTGAATGATGTATTTACCACAGTTTGAGACCCACGTCATATTCTGATGTAGGGACATCATTGTTAGGGTTTCACATATTGTGGTTAGAAATAGAGATGCCAGTAATAGAGATGCTTAAGAAAGTAATATATGTTGAAGCAGTCGTGTTGGTCGATAACATGGTCAGTAAAAAAAGGTAATACTTGGTTACAAAACTTCACAAATACATAGTTGTGTTTTAACTGTTAGCTTTGGAAGTTAAAAGGAGTGATGTGACATTTTGGGAAAAATTCATATTCATTTTCTAGCCGAGGATGTTTTGACAACGATAAAGTACGTTTAGCATTATGGGAGCAATTTGAGGATGTCAGTTTTTGCTACACAGCACAGAGGCAGATTCAGGGATAAATCCATCACAATATTCTCCAAAGATGAAGAGATGGTTTGACATAAATAGCAGCATTTATGCCAACATTTATCAATCATTTAACAAGGTCAACTCTTATTATGTGGAAGCTAATTAGTAACATTAGGATGCAAATGTGCAAAACATTGGATCTGGGGGAAGATGTAACTTTGAGATAAAATACAGACTATGCACCACAGACAGTGCAGACTAAGGGGGGGATTTTTATATTAAATGAACTCCATTGGTTATACTAGTGCTGTGTGAAAAGGTCTTTAGATTACATGGATTATGTGTGTTTCAGTCTCCCTTTGGCTTGCATTTAATGATGTCCTTCTATCTTTTATAGTCACTGTTGAACTTTGTATCTCCCACTGGCATAGCATAAACAGTCCAGCTGATTTACAATGCTTGGAAACTATAGAGGTCTTGACCCTGGTTCCTTCCGAGATGCTCCCAATGCCTCTTTCAAGATGCTTACTCATTAATTTAAAAGTTTTAAACTGAATCTGTAAGGGACTTTTCACAACGTCTCTGCATTCTTGCAGAGCTGGGTTGTTATGCAGCGTCTTAGCCACATTCACAGCTGCCTTACCAGTGTACTCTGGATCCACATGAGGCGGGTAGAAGCGGAAGTTGATGAAGAAGGGAATAGGCACTCCAAACTTGAACCACTCCACCACATAGGGAGGCTGCTGGCCATCCAGGGGAGGGGACACGTCACACCCCAGGATCACGCTCTCTCCGGCGCGCGCCGTCACAAACCGGGGCTCCTCTCTCACTCCGTGGGCACCTTAGAGACACAAAAACAGGGAAATTCAGTGTTTATCTAATAAGACCGTAGTCTGACATGCAATAGAACAAGGTGTATGCGCAGAAATCCTGCTGACAAAGCAGAAAAATCTCATTGCATCCAAGACATCCAGGGCTAATTTACAAAAAATAACTGGGTGGCTATTGCAGGTGACCGACTTTACTACTACACAGCACATTAAAACAACATTTAGCTTAAGATACATTGAAACCTTATGGCCCACATTCTGAGTCACCCTGCACATGGGTAAACCCTCTCCCTTTCATCAGCTCTCCTCATCCTTCCACAGAACAGCCTATAGTCATCTGTCACCTGCATCTGTTGGTGAGTGTTTTGTGGCTCTGCCTTACTGTACTATAAATGAGCTGCCAACCGCTTCCATTGATCATCTCTGGCTGCTGCTCAGATAAGCTTTACTATGAGCACCACCAGGCCCTGGCGTTTAGCCACCAATGTCCAGGCACGCTGCCGAGCGTTGACCTATCAGATGACTGAAAGGTCGGCATACCTGCCTCAGCAGAACGCTCACTCTGGGAATGGATTTTCTCCAGCTGCCACCCCCGCTTTCATTGAACCGGCTGTATCTCGGCCGTCGAATCGAGCATGACTACCCACCCTCGCCCAGAGGGAAAATCGCTTCGGGGATCAAGGGACATGCTGACGTATCACTCCGGAGAAACACCAGCTGAATAACTTTCAGCTTTAATTAGCAGTGTCATTTGCATTAACAGGATAATTTTTACAAGCAGAACAAATACATTGGGGCTTGAGGTATTATGGGCTCAAGCTGCACTGGTGCAACTATATGTAATGATGATCCACCACCATCTCTACTATATGACATGTGACGCGTAACTCCACTACTATCTGTGGTAACTAGTACTATAACTAGTTACTTTTTTAAATTAAATTACGCCATTACAATTAAATCTAAAAGCACTCGTTACTTTCCGTTAAATAGCCTACAACTGCGTGAGATTAAGGTTTATTGACACAGATTTGGCAAGCGAGGTTACAACTTCTCTGGTAGAAAGAATGTTGAACGCAGTACACACACACACAATGGCTGATGATCATTCAGTAAGATAGTAGTAACTAGTACCTAACTAGTTACTAAGTATCAGAAACTAGCCCATCACTGAACAGCATTGTGCCTTTTCAGTGTACAGTGGAATCAAAACCAAAATAACTTCTTCTTTCTGAAACTCCTCCCCTCAATACCATATCACTTAATGAATGCGATCACCAGTTTAATCTGCCTCATCCTGTGACAGGTTTAATCCACTTTACTCGTTACAGCCCGCACAAATTCTGGACCGAAACAGAGCAGATTTTTATCAAACTACACTTTTTTAATGTAATGGTTTAGTGTGTCAGGGCTCATCAGAGCTGGAAACTACTATTTCTATTTGTCTGGGGGGAAAACAGTTTTGCTGCTTATCATACTACTGAGCAAACCAAACCAAACATGTGCTTGACACGATGAAATGATGTGACCACTCAACAGCCCTTGTAGGTCTCTAATGGAACAGCAAACAAATACAAAAAGCTGCTGAATACTAACCTACAACAGGATTTATACCCTAAAAAAACACTGTTATGAGTTCAACATCACACAGTGGAAACTGAATGACAACTGTAAGCCACAGAGGCTGTGCCTTAAAGAAGGAGCACAATTACATGCACTTATTTGAAGCATTCAAAGCACGCTTACAGTACAATAAAACAGCAATTCTAGATTTTTTCATGAAAGTTCTATTGAGGAGAGATTGATTGTTTGCTAAGGCATAGGATAGCATGTGAAAAATCAGCTAAAAGACGGATAATTGTTGCGATGAGCTTCTGTCTGTGTCCTCTCTGCTCTACCTGTACAAACCATAACCTTACAAAACTGGTCAAGGCAAACCTGCCCCATCCGGTTATAAGCACAGCAAAATCAGAAATCTGATTAACTAATCCTTTCAGGATTGCAGAAAGCCTGAAATTCACACCTGAGCATGCTCCATTGCAGCCTCATTTATAACGCCTTAAAAAAAGATTATAATAACCCATTTCAACACCCCATCCAGGGCCTGTGCCAAGGCAAATACAGCACAATTTTCTTGTTAAATAGTCTTTTAAGAAGTCCACTCAATTTGCATTAAAGATCAGTGAATATTAGTGTGAGTGCCTTAAAGCAGCAGTTCAACATTTTTGGACAAATCATTTTATGCTAAAACAAGAATATTACAAATGTCTATGTGTCTTTAATGTAAGGATAAAGCAGCTAGTTAGCTTATAGCTTAGCACTAGGGCCTGACGGATATGGGATTTTTGGGTCCGATACAATATTAGGGAGAGAAAAAATCTGATACCGATATATCGGTCAATAACTTTCTTATAATCACTCAATCAGTTAATCCATAAACAGTCAGTAGATAGGAGGTACACCTAGCTAAACCTGGTACATCCCAATACAACAGTAACAGTCCCGACAACCGGCAATAAATTCATTTTACTGGCGTGTTTATGGGGTTTGTCCACCAATTGTTGTAAACATGATGGAAACACCTTTCATTACAACACTATGCGATTGAATAGCACAAAAACATCAAAAACACTGCACACCATCCATCCAACCACCCACCCACCAATCACCCAACCTACAAACCCACCATCCAACCACCAACAAACCAACCCACCATCCAACCACCCAACCCACCATCCAACCACCCAACAACCCAACCCACCATCCAACCACCCAACAACCCACCCACCATCCAACCACCATCAACCCAACCCACCATCCAACCACCCAACAACCCAACCCACCCACCAATCACCCAAACTACAAACCCACCATCCAACCACCAACAACCCAACCCACCATCCAACCACCAACAACCCAACCCACCATCCAACCACCCAACAACCCAACCCACCATCCAACCACCAACAACCCAACCCACCATCCAACCACCAACAACCCAACCCACCCACCAATCACCCAAACTACAAACCCACCATCCAACCACCCAACCCAACCCACCATCCAACCACCCAACAACCCAACCCACCATCCAACCACCCAACAACCCAACCCACCCAACCACCCAACAACCCAACCCACCATCCAACCACCCAACAACCCAACCCACCATCCAACCACCAACAACCCAACCCACCATCCAACCACCAACAACCCAACCCACCATCCAACCACCCAACAACCCAACCCACCATCCAACCACCCAACAACCTTTTCCAAACACTTTCAGAAACAATTGAACACTTCAACTTAAATGATATCATATTTTCAGATATCATGAAAATATAATGAAATACAGTATTATATATACTATACTACACCGAATTACTTTTTTTTAACTAGGTGTATTTACGTAAAATGAAGATTAAGATTTACTTTATTGATCCCGCAAGGGGAAATTCTGTTTTTTTTAATCTGTATTTTTTTACATAAAAGGTAAGAAACCCAAAATTTCAGTACAGATATACCAAGCTAGTTATTACTGTAAACAGTTTAATTATTGGATAGTATCTCCACAATGAAGCTCTTATCAAAAAGAGTTGCAGCTAAAACAGTCATAGAAAAACAGATAGCTTTACAGTGTGGCAGTTTTCAAGATGCATATCAGTCGACAATGATGTTTTATACTGTTAAATAGTGCTTGAAAAATCTGGTTGTAATCTATTTTCACAATCACAAAAAAAACAGCCTGGACCAACTGTTTTAGATAGGGTTGTTGAGGAAACAGAGAGTGTACCTGAGCAGGGGTGTTGGATAACTTCTTATTATGTCAGAGCTTTTGTCTTCATTTATGACTCTACAGTTGTTCACTATTGCTTTCATTAAAAAAAAACAGAGCAGGCTGGCATCTATAATGAAACACACTGGACACATTGTTTGGTTTGAGTAAGTAGAGTCACTTGACATGAAGCACAGGCGGCTGCACACACCGTGCATGCTGCTGAAATCCTTTGTTTTCCCTGCAGACAGTTCAGGTTGCAGAAGTTTAGAGGCTTGTGAAAAGACTCAGAGAAAAGACTTTAAAGACTAAGATAATATATTGGAGGGCAAATAATTCTCCAATTTCTTTATGGGATCCTCATGTGAGGACAATCAGTGCAGGCTTGGTCACCGCTTTTGCCTTTTTCATTTCCTTAATGGAGACAGGGTGACCCAGCAGGGTTTATGGGGGCTTATTCGGGAGAAAAATGAATGCTCTCAACAAGAGATAAATGTTCTACAAGGGTCCATGCTTAAGATCTTCCAAATAAAAAGTACTGTAGATATAAAGGGATCAATACAGCTAGTGGATGATGGGTAATTGAGATTGCTTTGGCACAGTAAACGTCAACTGAACTCAACTAAAGTTAAAACCCTTTAAATACACAGAGGTAGGAAACTGTTGACTAAGATCTACATAAATCAACAGATAATAAATCCATGCAGCCAATATGTTTTATGTATTTATCCTCAGATCCTAGTTGATTTACTGCTATGGTCATATATTCCTGAAGGGTAACAATTCAGACCCCTGTCATCTATCATCTATATGGCAGGTTCTTCAGGTACAAAAGCAAAATACACAGAGAATCATTCCTCATTGTTTGGCAAAGGTTAAACCAACAGGGCCACAGTGAGTCTGGGCTACATCTAACAATAAATCTGATGAATCACATGATGGTTTAGTCTCTAGAATGTCAGAAAATGAAGCAGTGACAACTGCTGACTGGCATCCCGAGTGTCTGAAGTCTATAAGTTAAATGTTTTAAGACCTTATTTTCTCATATCCTCATGGCAGAAAAACTTGAGGTATTAGATATTTCAAAAAACACGATGAGTAAATTATTTAGATTGAGAATGTGTCTTGCACAATAGCCGGCCCACATTAAGCACATTAAGTTCATATAATCAAGAGCCATACGGGTGGCTGCAAACAACAGAGGTCCAAAAAAACACAAGAGGCAACATTTAC